CTCGGGAAGCCAATCAACTTGACTCTGCCTTCATGCATCCCAGCACAGGCTTCCGGGAGTCTGGAGCTGGGCCTTTCAGCTCAAGGCTTGCCTCAGCCCTCCTTGGCCACCGCTGGGACTACCTCAGTGCCGGGGCGGTGTCAAAGGAAGGCCGGTCGGTGTCCATTGAACCAAAGCATAGCCCAAATGTAGGTCGAACCTGGATTCGCGAAAATGCAGGGAGAAGGTAAAGGAGTCCATCTGAGATGGATTTCCTCAAGAATGGAACCTCTAATCAAGTAGGAATTTGTTTGTCCGTTTCTCCTGGGTCAACATGATCGGAAGTAACCAGCCCTTCTTACAAACAGGGAAGCAACGCTTCATCTCAACGTGCAGAGGGACAAGCGACCAAGTTCAAAACATCCTCCAAGCCTTCAAAGCGGGGTTGACTCACCAAAGTAGGATTGAGTGGAGAACTGGACATAGAAGCCCCGTAGCAAAGCATTTTTCTTCATCCCCTATCCACTTAAACTATCACATTCAAGGGGAATCCATTGGTATCAGTGGCAACCCCCAAACCAACCAAACATGAAACCGCAACAGAACATCCCAGAATCTCCCACAATCCAACTGACTCTCTCAACCTCCCCTGATCCTAAATCCAAACCCAAACCTTCACTCCCTATACGCACACGGGAGATTCAGAGCTCGTCCCCCGCTGGAAGTGTTGACCAAACCTCATATGGGAATGTCAAACTAGGCGACCCATAAAATGAGATCAACCCCCGGCCCCCAACCCCTGACCCCGTCTTTCTTTGCAGGTACCCTTAAGGAACTGCAAAAGAAAAAACATAATTTTGGTGGGTTTCCGGAAAAACAAAAAGACACACACACACATGCACACATGTTCCTTTTTCGCCAGCAAGTCGACTTTCTGGGCATCGGTCAGATCGGTCTGGAGCGGTCAGGGTTTAGGGGACCCCTTTTTGGAATGGCTGCAGCAGATGTGGACTGTGACAAAAACTTTGCATTGTCCTGGATGTGTGTTTGATTAATTATTAATGAACACCCAATGTGTTATATATATATTTAACCGACGCCAGTGTTTGTTCATTGTCTTTTAATTTGTACAAGCACAGCACCCACCATGTGCTTGTTAAAACAACAAAATGGTTTGTTGAAATGACATCGCAGCCCCATGATTTGTCATGCCAACCCCGAACAAAAAATGCCAAGGCGCCACATGGCCGCCCCCCTTGGAGGCGCGCAGCTGCGAGGCAGGGGGCGTGGGCTCCGGCGGCAGCGGCCTCATGGCGCGCGCGCGCGAGCGAGCGCGCGAGCGAGGCCCGAAGTTCCCGAGCCAGCGCGAGACGTTTGGGGCAGTCCTTTGGATGTCTTGCTGTCCAATTCATGTTGACCCCGGATTCATCTTAGCCCAGTTAGTGAATATTGGGGGGGGGGGTGCTCTCCTCCAAAAGCGGCCTGGAGTTGGGAATGGTGAAACTGCCCCCAACGAGCTGCAACCTTCAAAGGCAACAGGTCGAATCCACTGTCACGGAGTTGGGAATCGTCACAATTGCTAATGAGTTGTAGTTTGTACAGACACCAGGTCCAATCCACAACACGGAGTTGGTCACGCTTGCCAATGATCCACCTTGCAGCCAGCGGCTTCAAAGCTTGAGCACATTACCGGCTGGATGCTGAGGAACGCTAGGACTTCTGTACCTGGAATGGCCTCCGACACTGGCTCCTCTTGTTGCAATCCCCACCGAGCTCATGTTGCGCTTTGACTCATCTTCGCAAGGCCAGCTCCCTTTTCAATTCAGGGTGGTCATGCCTGCCAGCACTTCAACGGCTGCACCGGATCTCTCTTGCCATAGCCGACTAAAACCAAAGACACCCCCGGAAAAAAAAAAAAAAAAAAAACAAAAAAAAAAAAAAACAAGTAGCGGAAGTAAATTGGGGTTTATGGATCCGGGGTTGCCTTTCCCTGCTCCAGCCGCTCTGTGCAAAAATGGCTTGTTCAATGACATGCTTGATCGCATTAACATTCCCTCCAATCCTGGAAGTGGACATGGGGCTTCCCCAAAAGGAAGCTTCCAAAACCTCCATGACTTGCTGGTGCGATAGGTCGGGATGTGGTTGAATGAACCCAAACAATTCCCTGAAAGGAAACCACAAGTTTTCGATGGTTTTATAAGTCCCTCATTCCATTTCTCATTCCCTGCATCTCTCGCACCAGCACAAGTTGGATGGTTTTTCTTGGGGTCATTCTCTCACTGATTCCCTGCATCTGCCTATCGCACCAGCAAAATGATCGGAGGGAAGTGGCGAGCTTCTCAGCTCGCACTGCGTCTAAACCCGGGGCCGAGCCACGTGCCGCAGCGCTGCCGGAAGCGCTCCCAAAGCCCCGCTTGCGCCAGGCCCAGCGTGCAGACCTCGAACTGCTTGGAGGTGGCTCGAGAGGGGAACCGCTGGATGTGGCTGCCTTTGCTAGGTCCTCCAGAAGAGAGGTTAGAATAAGGGTACCCTTTTTGTCTTTAGAGAATACAAGAAGGGGAACCCTCGCCCAAAAAGAAGTAACAGGGCACTACTGGGGGACCTAGTTTGGTTGCCCAAAAAAGCACGACTCCCTCCCTAAAAACAGGGGAAGCGCCCCAAAATCGGGAAAACCAAAATGGTGTTCCTTCTGTGGCTTCCGCTTAGAACCACCCAAAGAGGGTACTGAGCCTTCAACAACACAGACCCACTTGGGTAGCCACGGCAGGTAAGTAGGTGACAACCCATGGTTATGGAGGGCACCCCAAACAATCCCGTGACCATGGTTTTAACCAACTTTTTCTAGGTTGGTTGAGCATCCGAGTAGCAGCTAGCAACAAATGAGTGGGGACCGCCAAGCTGTGCACTTCTGGTTCTGCCAAGGTGGTCGTGGCTTGTGTAGGTCTTGCAAAAAACAAACAAACGTTTGGTTCCACCATGTTCCACCAAAGTGCGATAGTAGTAATGGTTTGTATAGGTCTTGCTATAACCCCCCCCCCCCCCCAGGACAGTGTGACTACCAAAACGGTTGCAATTTGAGGCTCGGGCGCAGGCTCGTGGGACAGAAGATGATTCTGGCGCCTTTCCCAGCTTGCATTTCGTTCTCAGCCCCGCGCGGGCAGCTTGCAAAACCGCCGCGCGCTCACCGGCAGCTTGCTCTTGGGCAGCTGCAAAGCGCTGAGCCCCAGGAAGCTGCAGAGCCCGCTGGCACCTGCCGATGGAAGGTCTCACAAAGAGGATAGACCATCATGTATACGGACAAGCAACTCTATGCCTCATATGCCGCATATATATATATATATATATATGCTCACCCCCCCCCCCCCAGGGCCTACCTTTCCACTTCAAAATGTACAAAGCCCTCTTATTTTTAAAGACAGGGGGTGTGAGCATATATACGCAAGAAGTGTGCTGTTGCTGCATATTTTTTGTGGGTGACAAGTCATGTTGAGTAACAACAGCAAAGAGTTTATAAACTTACAAGACAGTTTATAAACCATGTCAAGGGTTTGACGGTTTCCCTGCAACAAGGGCAGGGGGGGGGGTCAGAACTCTTTACGGGGGGGGAGGGGGGGGGTACTGAGAAGTCTTTACAAAGTTGGCTGAGTCACACCTCACTGCTAAGACTTCCAACCCCCCCCCCCCCCCCCTCCCCCCCAAGACTCCAACCACCCCCCCCCCCCCTCCCCCCCTTCCAAACACCCCCCCCCCCCCCCAAGACTTCCAACCACCCCCCCCCCCCCCCGACTTCCAACCCCCCCCCCCCATCCTTCAACGATACCATGAACACTTCGTAGGGTGTTGTTGCCTTGACGCGGGAAACTCATCAAACACTCAATAAGGTTTATAAACTTTCCTGAAAGTTTATAAACCTTCTGTAGGCTTATTGCGTAGCAAGTGGAGACTGTTGTTTGGGAAAAAAAGGACACTCATTTGAGGCCTTGTTTGATGTGGTTTGGGCATGTGGTCCTAAAAGGTTGATGATTGTGTGTGGGTGTGTCATCACTGCTGCACTGTTATATCAAAGGCTGTCCATTCGGTCCAAGGGAACACAATCTGAGCAACTGCTGCAAAACACTGTGTTTTACAGCATACACTGTGTTTTACAGCATTTTGTTGGATCTCTAATCCCTTGAAATGTCCAATTTGAAACACCTGAAACCTAGAATCTGGAGATCAGAATCCTTGAGATGTCTAATGTTGGATTCTCCAAGCCTCATAATTTGGAGCCTGGAGTACTCCAACACGAATTGAATTGGGATGTTGAAGGGGGCAAAATGTTGTTTGGGAAATGAACAATCTTCGGCCCAAGGGAACACAATCTGAGCAATTTATTCAAAACACTTTGTTTTACAGTTTTTTTGTTGGACCTGCAATCCCTTGAAATGTCCATGGTGAAGCACCTGAAACCTAGAATCTGGAGATCAGAATCCTCGAGATGTCTAGTGTTGGATTCTCCAAGCCTCATATTTTGGAGCTGGGAGTCCTCCAACATTTTTAAATATAGATTCCTTTCCAAATATACTGCGAATTGATTTGGAATGTTGAAGGGAAAACTGTTGTTTGGGGAAAACAATCTTCGGTCCAAGGGAACACAATCTGAGCAACTGCTGCAAAACACTGTGTTTTACAGCGTTTTGTTGGATCTCTAATCCCTTGAAATGTCCAATTTGAAACACCTGAAACCTAGAATCTGGAGATCAGAATCCTTGAGATGTCTAATGTTGGATTCTCCAAGCCTCATAATTTGGAGCCTGGAGTACTCCAACACGAATTGAATTGGAATGTTGAAGGGGGCAAAATGTTGTTTGGGAAATGAACAATCTTCGGCCCAAGGGAACACAATCTGAGCAATTTCTTCAAAACACTTTGTTTTACAGTTTTTTGTTGGACCTGCAATCCCTTGAAATGTCCATGGTGAAGCACCTGAAACCTAGAATCTGGAGATCAGAATCCTCGAGATGTCTAGTGTTGGATTCTCCAAGCCTCATATTTTGGAGCTGGGAGTCCTCCAACATTTTTAAATATAGATTCCTTTCCAAATATACTGCGAATTGAATTGGAATGTTGAAGGGAAAACTGTTGTTTGGGGAAAACAATCTTCGGTCCAAGGGAACACAATCTGAGCAACTGCTGCAAAACACTGTGTTTTACAGCATTTTGTTGGATCTCTAATCCCTTGAAATGTCCAATTTGAAACACCTGAAACCTAGAATCTGGAGATCAGAATCCTTGAGATGTCTAATGTTGGATTCTCCAAGCCTCATAATTTGGAGCCTGGAGTCCAACATATCCAAGTACACATTCCTTTCCAAATACGATTTTGATCCGAATTGAATTTGCATATTGAATAGAATTTAGTAAGCACATAGTTCACCACCATTCATAATTCACCATAATGTCTATATTAGATCAGAATTTGAACAGGAATACCTTTCCAAATAAGGAAAATATGATTGCAGTAGAATCCAAATATACTTTAATGCAGACAGAATTCAATTAGCTTTTGAACATAATAATTTAATCAAGAATCCATCCCCAAATACAGCTTGAATTGGAATATAGCTTATTCTGGAAAGAAATCACTTGGCCTTTGCAAACAAATTTTAATAGTAACTCATTCCCAAATATGATTTAGCTTAAATGTGGCTAAACAAATAAAGGGCACATATCCCCAGACTCCCAAACTTGGTCTGGAGATGTGTTTGGCATGTGCAGGTCTCAGAGCTTTCATTTTCAGGAGATTTTGTGCTTTTGGGTCTGTGCAGGTTGCAGAGCTCAAAGCTGCCAAAAACATCATGTTTTCAATGTTTTTTCCCTGGTGTACTCAAAACCACTGTAAAAACCAGTGATTCAATCAAAGCCAGGCTCGAATCTGAAAACGGAATCCGTTTTCGCTTTGCTGCCTTTCAAGCCTCAAATAATCAGACATTTGCTGTCATATAGAAGGTAAAACAACAACAAAAACACTGTATTTTACAGTGTTTTCAGGCATCTGCAAGAAAGAGGCACACAGAGTAGAGTTGACACCTTCAACTGGAAGAGGGCAAAGGTAGGCCCTGGGGGGGGGGGGTGACCATATATATATATATATATATATATATGTATGTATGTATGTATGTATGTATATTCATATGATCCAGGTTCTAAGTTCCCCCCAGCCATGGTCATGGTACCTGGAGAACATATATCGTTTTTTGTGCGGATTGCAGCTCAGCTTTGGCGCCTGATCTCCACACATGTGCTTGGGGAGACGGCCCGATTGTGGCTTCGGGGAAACCGGCCAACTGAATGGGACCAGTTCAAACTGCAACCACCTCTGCTGTACATAATCCGCACGAAATCAAATGGTGAATGACGCAAGATCTTGTTGTGGGCCGTGGCGCAACGCCATCTGAAAGACAAGGGCACTCGGCATTAGCTTCCGCCGCAAATCGGTGTCGGTACTTTTCTTGAGCATACCTTTTGTTGGGTTGGTTTATAGGAACCGACAGGGGAGCCAACATTGGTCTGTGGGTAGAAGAGGCTGGCAATTCAAAGGCCCCAGTGCCTCCGTGCTCTGGAGACCGGAGCTAACTTAAATTATCTTGGCGTTTAGGTCAAAATAGTGTGGGTGTTTCTGAAAATAGGAAATAGGGGTGCCCCAAAATGGTTGGTGTCCTTGCGGTTTCCCTCTCAATACCAGCCAACTAGGGTCCATTCTGAGAAACACCAGTATTACGAACAACAAAGCGACAACTGCAGCCAAGCCAATAACGACAAAATAACTTCAGCCGCCTTTTGGAAAAGAGAAAATCAGCATCAACTGAAGAAACAAGAAATGTCACGCAATTTATCAGAATCAAGCCAGCCACATGTGTGAATTGTAGTATTTCACCCTACATGGGGCTCTCAATATGGGTTGACCCCTGTTGTTGATGGCATCAAATCTTGTTTACAAGCAATACATGATCAACATATACACAATAAACCAACATATAGTAATAATCTAAACATATAAAGTGAAATAGGGCCGTTCATGGAAAACCAGAACACAATGAAGTAGAAGATACGGGCATAGGATTAACAAAAATGAATCCAGTTTGACTTAAGAAGACATGTGAACGACAAAGAGGTAACCATAACCAAACCAACAAAAAAGAACAATTAATGCATAAATGATGTCATAATAGTAAACATGATTCAAGAGACGCATACTACATACATTGATATATAAACCAGAGTCACAAGATTCACAAGTCATTCTAGTGGAGAGAGACATGACATAAATAAGCATAGTTTAATTATGAACAAAGCCTCTGAAACCAATAATACTAGAATTCATGTACAACAAAGGAACATATCATAATTCATCAAGAATACAGACAAATAACATGACATCTGGTATTCAATAATTGGATATAAACCAACAGAAGAAAATACACAGTGAATGATCTATAATTAATCCTCTATACCAGTGGATCGGGAACTTGTGAAAGGCAGCATCATGTTGAGACACCATCATAAACAGAAAGGGCTACCCAAAGGCAGCCAACCACCTGAAAGGGACCTCTAATCTTAAGAAACTCTATTAAGAAACTCTATTCACTTTCTAGCTTGACTAGACAAAAAGCCCCAACTTGTTGTTTGCCACTCTGGGCTTCTGGAAACCACCACTAAACCCTAAAAACCTAAACACCTGAAACCCTAAAACCCTAAAAACCTAAAACCCTAAAACCCTAAAACCCTAAAAACCTAAAACCTAAAACAATAGAAACCTAAAAGCACCTAAACACCCAAGACAAAACTAAGCAGCCGGATGGCTGGGAACACTCGCAAGTTGCCCACCTGCGTCCAGGGGCTTTTCAGGCTCCGGGCCCTGGCGACGAAGCTCTCTCGCAGCACTGCACGGGCATTGGGGGCGTTTGCAAAGCCAGCTGACAGCCAGGGGGAACCGTTCGGAATGCAATGGAAGAAAGGAAAAGCAGCTTGTGGGAATGTTGAAGGTGTGTGTGTAACCCCAATCATAATACATATATATATACACACATTCGGGGATATCAACAAGTTCAAGGCTACCATATCGCAACAAATGCAACCATAGCGCAACAAATGCACAAGCTGCCGTCTTGGACAGGCGACCCTTCTCTCGTGTCTCCCGTGTTGCTTTGTGGCGTAGGGGTTCACATGTTTCCGATTGGGTGCAATAGCCTGTGGCAATCCAAACACCTAGCGGCTGGGTTCGTTGGTGCATGGATTCTTCAGCATCTGCGACCCCGTGACCTACAAAGGCAGCCAAGCCTTTCAAGTGGCTCAAAAGACTTCACCGGGGGGTTGCAGTCCCTCAGGTGAGGAGGCAAGAAACAGGCACAGCAACCTGCGGCATCAAACATCGAGCTCAGAGCATCTTATATAGTTTGTTCTGTTCAAACGGTAGGAAACTCATTTCAAACAGGCTCAGAAGACAGCCAACCATCTGTTCAGAGACTCTTGCGGCGCGCGTCTGGCGGGCCCACCTGGTCCATCGCTTTACCTGCCAGGAATTGGGCTGAAGTCCTCTCTCGTCGAATCCCTTGGCAAAGAAAAGCTTCTGCTGGGCAGCGTGACTTGCTTCAACGTACAGAATTTGGCCTGCTGGTCTGTGCAAGTACATCCCAAAGAGAATAAGATGCCGACAGTCTACACTTGTCAAGCAAATAAAGGAATCAGAGAATCTAAGGCACGAAACACATGGCGTGAATACATGCAAGGGTAGGTCCACCCGATGTTGCGATCAAAGTATGTACGTGTGGCCGTGTTCTCTTTATCCCCGGTTCGGGCAAAGGCTCGGCATGGGGCCGGTCACATATTGAGATGTATAATGGACAATCTGAGACAGATTCAGGCACATGGGCACGCAATCGAGCATGAATCTAAAAACTCAATCATCCCGAGACATTTGCGCAATGTGAATATATAATGAAAGAAGTGCAACGCGCATACACACAGAAACACCTCAACAAGAATACATCCACAAGAAAGTGGACAAACGCCAATTGCACATGAACAATTCTCGGTCCAGCTAAGAAGCAAGCCGAACAGCATATAGGTGTGTCTTTTTTGGGTACCCCTTTTTGGTGGTTGCAAGAGGAAACCAAAGGGAAAGCCAAACGCCATGTTGGGGGTCCCCTAAAACAGGCACACGGATATTTCACCAGCCTTCACCGGAACAGGCTTAACAAAGGCAAAAACAACGACCGCCTATGCTTCGCCAAATCCCAAGCTGCACCAAACTCTTCGAAATGCTTTTGGGACAACGGCAACTCCAATGGCCTTTGGGCAGCACTCCCAGGGTGTGTAGCTTCTCCTGAGCAATCTGAAGATCCATTTGCTGTTGTTCGTTTAAACCTCCATTTGCTTAAGACCCCTGGGAAAAATAGAAATGCTTCCAGTAGTCATGGATTCCCTTGAAAACCAACAGGGGAAAATAGAAAATAGTCTTAAGCAAATGGAGGCAAACAGTGGAGTCATGAAACCAAACAGTTTCAGACCAAACTTCCGAAAGCACTAGCCAAAGCTTGACTCAATCAGGTTGGCCATTCTGATATCCAAAGCTGAGTTGAGCAAATGGCAGTGAGCCGGAGCTGGACTCAATCAGCTTGGCCATTCTGAGATCCAAGGCTGAGTCAACCGATTTGGAAAGGACACCATGCCGAAACTTGCTTCAGCAATTGGCTCCTCCAATCTCGCAATTCCACACACCAGTTCACGCATTTCGCTTTCTTGAACATCACATGCAATGGGCATCAACTACTAGGTCCATACGGCATCGAGACCTCTCGTAGTCGTTGCTTTCTCGTGCAAGGAGCCTTCCTTGCTGGCTCCGTCTCTCAGCGCCCTTCACCAAAAATCCGAAGGATACTCGCTCAACAAGAGGCAGCCGAGGCGTCATGATTGAAACCTTCCACAAGTCGTGGGCCTGAAGGAAAATGGGATATACATCGAGGAATCTGTGTGATATCTATGATATGGTGGTTGTATATTCCTATGAAACACTCAAGTGGACGAACCCCCATTCAAGTAGTCGTACTTCCTGAGTAGATCGGTCAAACATAGTGGCAAACCCGGTCCAGGAACTCAAAAAGCTCAACTCACAAGTAGGTTATAACCATGGTAGCTGGCCCTATCCATAATGGTTGTAGCATACCTGTGGGTTGAACATCCAAGGTGTTCTTTGGAAAGAACAAATGGATCCCTTTGAAGTGAATCGATTCCCTTCGTATCCCGGAAATTGGCAACCTAAAACCATAATGTTGACCCCGGATTGGCAAACCAGAGTTCATGGACATAAGGGTGTCCCCCTCCAAAAGTAATGAATCCCCACTAAACCCAGGGACACCCCCCTCTTAAATTAATAAACAGAAGGGGTGCTCACAGGATGTAGTCTTACAGCTCCAATGCTTGAAATCACATGCCCACCAACACACGCTCTCCACTTTTTCCTGCAGTCTATTTTAGTAGGAGAACCCTCCCCAAAAAAAGAAACGGTAAAAGGGCACTACTGGGGGACCTGGACTTTGTTCCCCACCATGACCAAGGACCCAAAAGTCGATCCCCATTTCGGAATGCAGTCCTTCATGGCCTCGCTCAGAGCAGAGGGAACCAGTCGCACCTTCCGCAGGCCTCGCGCTCGACATGGGCCCAAACCCCAAGGGATCCAAATTCGCCGTGGGTCTTTCTCTTGGGAACCCCAACCAAAAGGGGAGAGGGACATGACGCGGTGACCTCTTCAGGTTGGCTCAAAGGCAAACCCAAAGCAACGCCGAAATGAATTTCTTGCAGATAACTGGTCCTCAGATCCCCCTCTAAAAGTTTAACTAAACACTAAACACTAAACAGGGATCCTCAGATTATACACCTGAACATTGCCTTGTAAATTGGGGTTTCCCCTTATTTTGGTGGAAAAAGCCATGTTTCGATTGGGCAAAATGTATCTTTTAAGGAGCCCTGCTAAAAGGCTAAGGGGATGGATGGGAGCCACCAAGATACCACAGCCTTCACCCAAGGCGTCCAAGGACCCCTTCCTGGGGTGGATGCTTTGTCTGGGACAAGGGAAACCACCCGGCACAAGGATGAAGGGTTGATTTGGAACCCAGTCCAGATAGGGGAAGCAAGACTTATGGGATCAAGTTTGGGCCAAAGGAAACTGCCATAGTATCGGCCGCCAAACACAGGATCCCCAAACATGACCGATTTGTAAAAAAATACAAGAAACACCATGTGAAACCATCACGCATAGGACCTACTACACAGCCAAGAAGTGGCTAATAGTAGCAGTCAAACTGGAAGCACGTGAAACACAGGGCCCCCGCAAGCCAATCGAAACTCCACCTGACATCAGAATTGAGACCCCAAGCAAAGGACCTACTTCTCATGAGCTTCAGTTTGACCCCCCAAATGGGTGCCGCTCGCCAGAAAGAAGGCGAGGAAGCGCATCAAACGCCTCCGAAACGACAAGAGCACATCTCATTTGGGGGGCACCCCTGTTTTTGGTAATTTTAAAGGGACACCTGACACCAAGAGGAAAACCACCATTTTGGGCCGGTTCTGACGTTTGAACCTTTGATTTTGGGGTTGATCAAAAATCCGTTCGGCCACCCAGATGACCAAGGGCAAGTTTTCCCATGTCATGTGGAACATTATGTGCTTAGCGGTTTTCCCTAATGGTCATCCCATGTAAAGGACCTTTTGATTAACCCCCGAATGTGCCGAGTGGCGCTCGGAAGCAGTAGGCACCTCGAGCACTGGCTCTTCAGGTGCACCTAACGGAAGTCATTGGGACCTGATTTTGGTAAAAAGATCTGACCTGCTTCCGCCAGACATGCAAATACCTCCAGTGAGTCCATAGACTACTGCAGAAATGTTGACAAAACCTCCAGAGGTTACTCACCTGCCTGAAGCACCTCGATATAAAGCTTAATCTTTTGGGACCTTGACCAATGGACCAAAAAGGAACACGGAAGGCTACTACAAGAACATGAGCCCTTTCAGGGGGATGTAATCTGACAGGAGAACCCTCTTGCTTACAGACACAACACACACAGACCAGCAGACAAGAGACAAATCGGCAAACAGGCACAGGCAAATAGGCAGGAAGAGACACTGGTCTCGGCGAGATGAAACCTGACAATAAGTTCTGGGGGAGAAACCCCTGTGGCCAAAAAGAAAGTGATTGGCAGTACTGCAGGATGAGCCTGGTAGATCCAATTGAAACTGGGACAAAAACACATTAAATTGCTGAATATCTTTGAGAGCGAAAGACAAGACATCCTGGGTCACCTATTGTCACTGAAATTGCCAGGTAACACGTTGCAGGAACACCGCAGCCAAAAACGGGTTCGGAACGACTAGCGTGGTCTGAAGGAAATGAACAGCACAACGGCCCCTAACAGCCACACCAGACCGGTTCTGCTCACACTGCTGCCCGCAGACACATCCACAGTCTGCCCTTTCCGAGCCACTTGGTCCGCCGTCCATGTGTTTGACATATTCTCAAAGGGGAAATCACTTCAAGCATCACCCCAAAACGGTGGTAGATAAAGCACGCATCTGCAGTCTGGACTGCCCGCATCTTCGTGTGATGCTCTTTTTGTTGCCCAATGGGCTCTTGCCGGCACCCATGTTCAGGCATTGAACAATCTCGCATGCAATGAAACATGAAGCTTTAGGCCTGTGTCGAACCAGCCTTCACATATGAACATTGTCTGAATTGGTGAGCCTTTATCGTCCAGCCCAAAGAAATGTTGCGGTCCAACAAAGGTACGCGATTTACACTAATAAGTACTCTTGTCAGGCGCCGGGCGTGTCTACTACTGTGTGCACATCCAGTATCGGTCGCCCGTACTTCAGCGTATGTTCAGTGCCGGACTAGGTTGGCCGAGCAAGAACCATAGCGTCTTGTTTATCACGGACATGGTCTTCCCCAAGTTCAAAAACTCGAAAGTGACGTGCTGGCTATGATCCAACGCTCCACTCCAGACTCAGATTAAGACCGAAAGCTTCCAGAGTTGGCTTATCCTTTCTGAATCAATTGAGAAGCAACCAGGCCAGGCATCCACAAAAATAACAACACCACAATCACAGGTTCATACGAACGTCCTTCAAAACCGCAACTGTCCACGGGATGTCCGATGCAGGTCGGATTAAGCAAGTTGCCAACGTAATAACTATATGCTGAAAGAAACTATGCCGCGAGCCACATGAATGCAGCCAGGAAGCCGTTCTCGATCGGCTTCTCTACTGGCCTCAGTCTCGTCGACTCGTGCAGTCGGGAAGACCCGATTTGCACAAACCTTGAATATGAATATCTAGGTCCTCCAGTAGAGAGGATAGAAAAAGTTGGTACCAACGTTTTTCTGTAGTCTACTTAGTAGGGGAACCCTCCCAACCAAAATCTTTGGTGAGAAAGGGCACTACTGGCAGACCTAGACTTTTTCACCTTGGGCCTCCCACGTCGGCTCGAAGGGTCCCTTGGCCGCCCCCGCGACCAAGGGCGCGCCGGGACCCGGCGCGGGCCCGGCCGGGCCACCCCAGTGCGCCGGCGGGCCACCTGGCTCACTGATTCTTGGTTGCTGTTGACCCCCTGCAAAAAGTTTAACTTTTTGGGGGCTTAGTGGAAAACACATTTATTTCTCAAAAAGTTAAAGCCTAAAGATCCAACCCAATAGCAGTCAAGGATTGGACACCGGACCTCATGTTGGGATCCCCGGCGTTTCCCCTTCAAGATCCCCCAAAAGGCCGGTCACGTATATAGATTGGACAAACAGGTGATGATGAAAGCCACCTTTTTGGGCAAGACATAGGGAACCCTGTACTTCCTTGGATTCTCGGATGTCGCCCATATGTCTCAAAATTGGTGACCTTCTTGGACGTTTCGAAACATCCTGAAATTCCAGGGTAAAAGTAGGCTGCAGTCTGCATCTTCTGGCAAAAGGAGTTTCCAGACACCCTCCAGGCAGATACGGTTACCCAGCTTCCATGGCTTGCGGCCCTTGTGAAGGGCAACTAAGTGGGTTGAACATCCATGGCTCCAGGTACCCCATTCCTCTTGCCCGGCCTGTGTTGCCGCCCCAGTGGTTGGGAGGAGCTGTTGGTGGCGTCCAGCTTCCTGGCAAACGCACGCGCTGGCTTTGGACAGCTGTAAGAGCAAGGGTGGCTACACCTGCAAATGAGCAACCGTGTGCGCCAGCGCATGCGTTGGTGTTTGGGGAAACACAAACTGCCGCCCGGCTCCCATCCTGAAAAGAGCCCCCCACAAACGGCCACTTGTGCAATGCCACTGGGAAACGACCTTCCCAATGACGAATTCGGCGATTCAAGAGGCGGGAATTATTTTTGACAAAGGAGACCAAAAGAATACCAACCATTCTGGGCCCCCCCCCCACATCTACAGACAAACCCACATGGCAAGGATGTCACGTCGGATTGTGACAGGGGCAACCTGCTTTGGGCCCGGCCCTCTTTGAAATCAAGACCCATACCTGGCACCTAAGGCCCGATCTTGGACTCAGGCTTTGGCTTTTGGCAAACGAATTTCCAAAAGAGGGTCCCGTGTTTTCTTTGTTAACTTTCCCCACGATAGAAGTTTGTGCTATTTTGAGGTACCGACTCGGGGTGGTGTTCAACCCAAGACGATCCCGAATCCCTTAAGGGTTCCTCCAGGGTAAACTTGCACCCACAGACCCTGTCCCCGCGTTTGTCTGACAACTAGGCAACCCCCAAACCGGGTGGTTTCCCTTGGTTTCCCTTTACTGGGCCAAACTTAGACCCCTGCGAAAAGCAACTGTTGCCAAAGGCAAAGAAGCAACACAAACCAACAAGACAAAGGTGAAACAAGGTAAGCAATGTTAAAACAACGCAAACAGCAAACCGGACAAGGGTGCCTCATTTTTCTCGTTCTCACGGGGAGTTTCTTGAATGGACCTGGGGATTCCCTCGAAGGCGGAATGCCACAAGTCGGACGTTTCAGCGGGCAAGGGCCAAGACTCAAACCCCATTGGTTGACTTTGCTCAGCATGGCCATTTCGGCAGGCCTTCGCCTTGTCATAGCTCAAGCACAGTAACATGGTCTGAGTATTGGAGCGATCCCTTGCCATCCAATAGACCTCCCGGTCTCACTACTGCTCGCAGGAATGACCCAGCATGCTGTCACAAAGAGTGGCGTGCTCTTTGAAGTCATATCGTCAATGGAGCAAATTCTGCAGCAGCTGGAACTCAGATGCCCAGTGGCCATGGGAAAAAAAAACGGGCATCCTTTTTGGTTGGTCAAGTTTAAAGGAATCGGAACCCTTCCCAAAAAAAGTTCAAGACAAGGGGGCGGAATTCATTGGGCAACTGGGGGGTGGGATGCAACCAGTGCCCGGCATGTGATTTTTTTGGCCCATGCACTTTGTCCCCTCTTTCCCTGCGATCCAGCAAGCATGTTGGACAAACAAATCGCACTGGTGGCTTCCCTTTGGTTTCCCTTTCGTTTCCCTTTGGTTGCCCTTTCACGCAACCCCAGAAAAAATGTCCCGACCTTCAGCGCCAATGGAAATACAAGCGGCGCCCCTGTTTTGGTACTTGATTCAATAGGACACCCTCCAAACACTGGCCCCATTCTTCTACCAGGATCAAAATCACCCCCCCAAGTGGGTAGGTGAAACTGAAACCACCCCCGTTTCCGACTTTGAAACCCCAGAGCCGGTCAAACTCATGCCTCAGCGTTCTCCAATTGGTGGCTAAGGGGATTGGCGCTTCGGTGGCTAAGGGGTTTCCTGCTAAGTCTCCTGGGCTTCAGATCCAAACCCCAAACCACCGGGCGACCTGAATGCCCCATATACCAAACCGTGCTGGGGCCCCAGCAGGGAAGGAGTTTGAATGACATCAGCAATCCTCGGGAAACCCCAAGTTTCCCAAAACCTGGGCGGGGGGTCATTTGTCTGAGCACCAGATACAAAAAAAAACACGAAAAACCCGGAAGACCCCTCAGCCGTCGCCTGGCGCAGGGTTCCGCCAGTCCATTGGTTCCCGCGGCGGCGGCACGTGCCAGGGGCTGTAGCCTACGCCGGTGTTCGTTTTTCTTCTCTTGCGCGCCGCGGATTTGGGTGACGGCGAATTGAATAATTAGACTGAATTTTGGTGGAGTGACGGAAATCATCTACTGACTTTTGTGTGGGATGACTGGTCTCTCGCGAATGGCGGGAAACAATCTACTTGATGACTGGTCTATGATTCAAAGCCATGGCAACAGGAGTTACTGCAACTCCATAGCGACGATGTTGTGACTGTGTGTGTGACTATTTCAGACTAAGAAGGCCGAGCAACCAAGACATTCCGGCGCCTTTCAAGCACCCATGACTTGGGGCCTTTCGGGTTTGGCCAAACTAAACCTGACTTGAGCCGCAATCAACACCTCGTACTGCAAAATTTACTCAGCCAGTGCAAAGAATCATAAGGGCATGTCTTTGCTTGGTTTCTAATATGAATATATATATATATATAGGTAGGGGTTGATCAATCTTCCTGGCCCCAAAATGACCATGGGTAACTTTTCCCATTTACTGGTGAACATCTTTGTTGGTGCTTTCCCTCATGGTCACCCCATGTCAAGGACCTCCTGGTCAACCCCCATATACCTCCATTTGCTTACTAAACTTACGCCCCCTGGAAAAAATATGTCCAGTAATGACAGATGCCGATTAAAAACAATAGGGGGAAAGTAACACATATTCTTAAGCGAATGGAAGGCTTTGAAATGCAATCTAATGCAACATGAGATGCTTCATAGGGCCTGGTTGGTTATACATATATGTATATTTCTAGCATATATTAATATGCTCAACACCCCGCCCATGATCCACACCTCCATACCTTCATTGGTACATCAGTTTCATGCCACATATTTCTCCGGGGTGAGCATATATATATATATGTATACACGCTCCCTTCCACTAACATAGCACCTGTGGGAGGGTACCTGGAAGATCATGTTCCTCTTGTGGGGACTCCCTATCAGATGCCATGTTAGTGGGAGTGAGGATATGCATATTGCTTGGCCGTTCTGCAGGGCTGCTTACATATTTTTGCCCATTTGAAACATGGCTTGTTCCACCAACATAAAGGGAGACCACCATTTACAAGGCAATGTTCAGGTGTATAACGTAAGGATCCCTGTTCTTTGCATCTCCCAAAAAAGCCGCGCGCTCTCGGTGTCTGTCTCCGGCTCTCTGGCCGCCTGGCATGGGCCTGGGGTACATGGGCCGCTGCGGCGGCCAGTGACCCGGCGGGGGGTACCTGGAAGCCAAGCGCGCCGGAGCGAGCGAGCGTGGGGCACCGTACTGTGGATGGTGGCGAAATCCGTTTGCGCCACATTGAAACCACGGCAAGCCATTGTTTGCATTTATAGGCGAATCGTCATTCCGGGGTTTCCCAGGTGCAGGATTTGGTCCATCCACAGCAGAGGGGGGGTTCAACCCGCTTAGAAAGGAGGCTCTGATCATGCTTGAAAGGAAACTCACCCTAGTTCACCTAGGTATAACCATGGTTATAACAGTTGTGTACTACTTACTGTGGACGGTTGCGAAATCCGTTCGCACCACCTTTGAAACCATGGTAAACACCATTGTTTGTTGGTATTTACAGAGGAATCATAGTTGAAACCATAACGTTGGTTGGTATATATGGGGGAATCATGAGACACCAGGGTTTCTTAGGTGATGCAGGATTTCGTCCATCCGCAGTAGGTCTGTTTTTTGCGTTGAGGGTATCCTCCTTCCAACATGCAACTGGACAAGGGGCATGTTCAAGAGGAGTCTAGTCGTCTAAAGGTTGGTGTCAAGGGAAACCAGAAGGAAACCACAGAACTCCAGTTTTTGGGTCATCCTAATTCACATGACATGTGCCATGGTCAAACTCCTGTGGGTCATGGCTGCCGTAATTTGAAGCTTTACATTGGTTGCCCTCTTGTTTTTCTTGCTTGTTGTTGTTAATTGTTGCCGGGTGTGGTATTTATCTAACTATAGGCTATAGGCTAACGAGAAGACCAAATGTGTTGCAGCATCCTTGCCGCAAGTTGGCTTGTCTTTGAATAGGAGAACCCTCCAAATGCATGGCTGGTGGCCTTGTAGTTTCCCTTCAAACCAACCAACAAGCAAACAAACAAAACAACAAAACCAACCAAACAAACAAACAAGCAAGTAAGCAAGCAAACAAAAAACAAACAAACAAACAAACAAACAGACAAGCCAACGACACAGACAAATAAAACAAACAATCAAAACCAAACAACAAACACACAAACAAACAAACAAACACACCAACAAACCAACAAACAAACAAACAAACAAACCCACGAACAAACAAACTGACAGACAGACAAACAGACAGACAAGGAAACAAACAAACAAACAAACAAACAAACAAACCATACCAAACCAAACCAAGTCAAACCAAACCAAACCACAAACCAACCAACCAACCAACCGACCGACCGACCGACCAACCAACAAACAAACGCACAAACAACACACACAAAAGCATTCACACAAGTACACACAAGCACACACACACACACACAAGCGCACAAAAACGCACACAATCACACAAAAGCAACACACACACACACACACAAGCGCACACAAATGCACAAAATCACACAAAAGCAAAACACACACACACACAAACATACAGGCACACAGGCACACAAGCACACAAGCACACAAGCACACAATCACACAAGCACACAAGCACACAAGCACACACAAACACACAAACACACAAACACACAAACACACAAGCACACAAGCACACAAGCACACAAGCACACAAGCACACAAGCACACAACCACACAAGCACACAACCACACAAGCACACAACCACACAACCACACAACCACACAACCACACAACCACACAACCACACAACCACACAACCACACACCCACACACCCGCACACCCACACACCCACACACCCACACACCCACACACCCACACACACCCACACACCCAGACACCCACACACGCAAAAGCACCCCCACACACAATAGCACCCACACACACACACACACACACGCAAAAGCACCCCCACACACAAAAGCACCCACACAAACACACAAAAGCACACACACACACACAACACAGCACACACACACACAGACAGAAGCCAAAAGGAAAATCGTGTTCATCCCCTTTTTGGGGTGTCCGACTCCCAAAACAAAAAACGACAAACGCCGACGACGCGCCGTGTGGGGTTGGTGGACGCGCGCGCGACACGCGCGCGACGGGGCACTGCCACTCCGGCGGCCGCCACTCGGGGCCGCCCACGGGGCCCCGCCAGTCGCTGGGCGGGGAGGCCCGGCGCCGGCTGCGGCTCCGCCTCCTCGGGTTGGGTGGGTCTTGGGGCAGGTTGGGAGGTGGTGAGGAACCCGAGCCTGGGTGGGAGGCGGTTTGGAGGAAGGGTTGGTCTGTGGCAGGTAGCTAAACGAGGTGGGAGCCGGTTGGAGGAAACCAGGGGAAAGGTAGCTCAAACAAGAGGTGGGAGGCGATTGGAGGAAACTAATCGACGGGATAGGGGAAATGCACATTGCCCTCGCCTGAAGTGACAGGGGATCTCTGCAAGCCGAACAGAGAACTATCAATTTCAAATACCTAATATGCTGATGAGCCATAGAAAGGGGAGCCAATGCGACCGAGTGATCAGTCCTGCGTCGCTCGCCATCTTCATGCCTCCGGCGCCTGGAGGGCAGGGGTAGGAGGCGTAGCAACAAGTCAAGTTGTTGATGCCCTAGACGTCTGGCCATGGGTCAAAACCGCAATCGTACCTCCAGTGAACGTCCGATTCAATCCCCACAAAAATAAACTAAAATGGGTGGTGCACAGTGCACCTATCCCAAAATGGTACCATTGGTTTTGAACCATGGCCATCTACTGGCTCACAAACCACGGTGTTCACCATGTGGTAAGATGATGCTGGTGCCAGCCAGTATACTAACAAACAAGGTGGAGCCGGTTTTTGCCAGGCCATCAAAGTGTGAGGAGAGGTGGCGAACAGTCTTTGTTGCCTACGTGCAGTACTTGACTTGTGCAAAACCGAGCGTTCGACGTTTTGGAGACTTTCTCCCCGACAGGGGAGCCCAACTCCATTGCCCACTGGTGGGTTTAACTACGTCAATTCGCCAACTTGCAAGCCAAACCTGGAGGGAACCTGAGGGGTAACCTGCGAGGTTTACCAGAACTCTGGCCTGCTGGATGCAGGCACCAGCGTCAAGGCTCCTGACTCCATTCTTGGCGACCTCCCGGTCAACGGAAAGCGCTGGGGAGGAAGTGGTGTACCCTGCAGAGTACGAAAGGAACAAAGGTACCCATTTGTAGACTAGGTCCTACAGTAGTTTGAGGTTAGAAGAAGTTGGTACCCGACTTTTTTTCGGTTTTGTCTATTTTAGTAGGGCAACCCTCCCCCAAAAAAAGGGAAAAGGGCACTACTGAGGGGCCTAGTAGAGGAATCTCCTTTTGGGGCCCTCTTTCCCTTCTCCACGTTTACTCTCCAAAGGAGCAACTCACAGGTGGGGGCCGTTTGCCCCCCAAAGGCCGGGCTTCCAGTTTGGCGCTGGGCACTGGCATGCCCCCTTTGGCGGGGAATTCTGCCCCAGGAAGCGAAGGGCGCCTAGGTCCTCCAGTGAGGTTAGAATAAGGGTACCCTTGTTTGGCTCCGGAGTCTATTTGAGAGGGGGAAACCTCTCCCCAAAAAGGGTAAAAGGGCACTAATTGCTGGGGGACCTAGACGCTAGTCTGGATTGCCACATCATTTCTGCTCAGGTCTTGACTTTTTGTGCCCGCAGAACCGGCTTTGGCGTCCCCTGAAACATGTTGTAGGGATCCCGAAAGACCGAAAGATGCATAGCGCCCTTTGCGTGGTCCATTTGATACCATCCCAAAGCCGGTGTCAAAATTTTAGGATGCCCCAAAGGCCCTGAGACAAAGTGGAGCCCTTTGCGCATAAATGACAATCACTTCCCCAACCAGCATTTAAGCCTCATGAATTCAAGGTGGGGGTTTGGCTGCCCATGGTTGCCCATCAGCAAAACAAACGTGCCATTATGTGCCATTTTATGCAACTTGGAGGTGTTTCGACACGTCTGGGTTGTTTTATGCAACTTGGAGGTGTTTCGACACGTCTGGGTTGCTTGGCACTTTATGGAGGAATTGGCCGTGAACTGGCACGCACTGCCCTCTGAAACGAGCCAGTCAAGAAACGCATGACAATTGAGACGCTTATCAGGGCCAGACCCTAGTTTAACTTATTGCCAGCTGAAAAAGAAATGAAGGAAAGCCAACCAGGCAAACAGCTAGAAAGGCTAGTTAAGTCTGGCACCGATAAACATTCATCGATTCATCGATTCATCGCAACACAACATATGGGGTTGCTTCACAATGAGGGTCGCTGTCACTTGGTTCCATGTTGGTTTGCGTTCAATAAGATCCGTGCCGCGACTCGCAACTTGCCCAAGGCACCTCGAAGGCACGGTGTCTGTCTGCTCGAATCGATTCGTCGCTTGCCGTGCTGCGAGTTGATCTGTAGGTCATTCCGTCCATTGCGTTTGGCTTGTGGGGCAAGCTGCTGGTAAGCAACCGATACATGGACTTCTGAACATTTCTGCCACATTTGAGCCGACTGGGCCATGCCGGGCGTGGCAACCAACTGATCTCAAGCAAGCGCATCAGCATCTCACGTCCCTTGACATGGCAGAATCTGGGTGTGTCCTTTTTTGAGGATACCCCTTTTAAAGGGTTTCAAAGGAAAGCAAAAAGGAAACCAAAAAGGAAACCAACCATACTTAGGGTTCCCTATGTTAAGACACCCCATGTGGCCGACATGCTGTTGCCATCATGGCATTCTATACATCGGTGCCACATGCCTGCTCGGGCATAGTCTGACAGTAAACAAATAAAACGTGCCCGTTGAGTCTCTCACAGGCTAAGAGCTTGGACTGCACTGCGCATGAAAAGAATGGTATGCTCGTTGTGTTTATGCTGTGGATGGTTGCGAAATCCCTTCGCACCGCTTTGAAACCGTAGCAAACCATAGTTTGTTGGTGCAAAAAAAAGAGGGAACCGTCAGAGGGTTTCTTAGGTGGTGCAGGATTTTGTCCATCCACAGTATTCGACAACTTCACCTGTGCGGGGTTGTCCTTTGGGGCGTCCCTTTGTTCAGTTTGAAAACGAAGGGTCCCGTATTTGGAGACATGCCATGCATCACTCCTTGGCCCTTTAAGCCCCATCCCCTTGGCTACCTCCAAAGAAGGCCTCAGTCAGGCCTTGCTCAGGGACCCTGAAAGGATGCACCTACCAAACACCTGGTACATGGTACATGTAGAAACCTTTTCAAACAGCTGGTACAGGTGGTTTGCAATTTGGTCAAACTGTGTCCTCTGTTGCTGGGGAAGCGGGGGGGGGGGAGGGGTGGGGTGTTGGATCGCATGACCATTGCATGTCTCCCTTGCAGCCTCTGGATTTCGAAGCAGCGGGTGAGACTTCTTCGTGTTTGGACATGCAGTCGAGGTCTGCTCTTGCTCCAGCACACACGGGGCATGTTGTTGATTCCCCTGTGGTCGGCATGGGGCGATTTATGCCCTAGCTTTGAGGTTTCCTACTAGCCACATGGATGCATTCATGCACTTGCAAAGGCCACAACCCCAACCCCCAAGCTCCGACCTAGGCGTCGTCTTCTCACCCCCCTGATAAACGAATATCAGTGTGGCTATTGCCAGCGCAAGTGAACTAACTCGTGGAGTTAGTGTTAGAACGTACAAATGGGTGTGTCTCCCAAAAAGGTGGATTTCCTTTTGGTTTTCCTTTCAAACCACAAAAAGGGGAGGGGGTCCTCAAAAGAAGACAAGCCCCCCACATATTCCAGCAACAAGTTCAAAGATTCACGGGCGACCGCTTGGATCTGTCGGGTTTGAGGGGTCATGTTGATCCCACTCCCAACCCTTCCCAACCCTCCCAAAACGGCTGTCCCCGGCATCATTTTCCAATAGTGTTGCTAAATGTAAAGATCCTGAATACATAGAGCTGTCTTACGTATTATACATATGTACATGTATGTATATATAATATATAATATATGATGTATATATTATACACAATATGTCTAAAAGCATGCACACACTATGATCGTATTTTGGCACGCCCAGCAGACCGTCTTCCAGACCGCGGCTGAGTGGCCTTCTCGCCGCTTCATCTCAGGACCCGTAGCTCTGCGCGGTTGTTCTCCAGGTAGGCCGCAGCCGTGGCCTCGGTCACAGGCGGTGGACGCGGACGCGGACGCCCGGGGCCGGGGGGGGGGGGGGGTCCCAGTCGGATTCCCCCGGATCGATCCCATTTTGCCAGGTAAAACCGAGAACGAAACGCCAGGCAAAAAAACAACAGCGGTACATCCATGAGCAAGAAACAAAAATCAGGGCAAATCACGGTGAATGAGAGGGTGTCCTTGTTCCTGTCACGGTAATATTCACGGCATCCACTATCCACTGCTGTGCGCCACTGTCTATACTTACCGAGTTTCTCAAGCAACATGAAGCTTGGGTGAGTAACTCGTACCTTGGTGAGCGTGCCCCATCCCCTTTGGATGGCAGTAAAGACTGACCGTTGCTACGAGCCACGGACCTCTGAGGGCATGGGAACTTTTTTTCTTTGTTGGACATGTGATGAGTTCCTGCGTGTCGCTCCCAAAATGGACTACTGGACTTTCTGCCCAACCCTTATATGTCCCCTTCAAATGACCTAAAGCAAGCTCAACATTGACCCTATCGGAGGCAAATTTCGGCAGGGAGAATCAGGCAATCAGGGTTTGGACAAAGCCGAACCATCATAGTTAAAACCAACACGTTACAATACATGAACTGGGCATCGTCCTTTGCACTGCCCTGGTCCGTGGCTTCTCGCCAATGCTGCAAGCAGGCAATAAAAATGGCATCCTCATCATCGCATCCCAATCCAAGGATTGAAGACCGACCACTATATAGCAATTGGTATATCCAGTCTACCCATCCAGCTTGACTTTTGTTGGGAGGGAAGCAAACGGGTTCTCGCTTGCTTTCCTTTTCTACATGCTGGTGCGATAGGCAGGGAATGAGGACATTGGAATGACCCCTATAAGCCATCCAACAAGTGGGTTCCTTGATTCGGGCATCCCTGGGTTCAGTCAACCCATTCCCTCCTTGTCGCACCAGCAAGTGGCTGTGGGTGAAAACCAATGGTACCATTTGCGGTAGGTGCAACACCCATTTCAGAACCCGGTTTAGTGCTTGGATTGGGATGTTCACTGGGGCGAACCGATTTGGGTTTTGACCCATGGCCAAGTCTAAACCCAACTCATGCCCTGCCAGGCTTCGCCTTGAAGTCCTCCTTCATGACCTCCAGGTTCATGAGATCCAGCCGCATCTTCTCAGACCTTAAAGGAACCGCCCCAAGGAAGCGACCCTCCCACCAACAGTTCCCTTTTTTGGGTTGGTTTGCAGGGATTCTTGGCCACATCAAGCCCAAATGTGGCTTTTCAAGAAAAGTTCGGAACTGATCTTCAGAACTTTTGAGTTGACAAGTCTACCAAGGCTTTGTTTTTCCTGACTCATACTACCCCTCCCTGGACCCCGACGCCCTTGAACTCCAAGAGCATACTGTGGATGGACGAAATCCTGCACCACCCAAGAAACCCTGGATTGGTGATCCCCCTATAAATGCCAATAAACAATGGTTTCCAATGGTTTCAAAGTGGTGTAGGATTTCATCCATCCACAGTATGATATCATATGACTTGGCTTCGGCTCTTTCTTCTGTCAACATGGCTCCACAGATTACCTTAGGTCTCCGGGAGCGCGTACTTCACCCTTGCCACTCTGGGTGCAAAAGTGGACCGTTCCCAAGTTCATGAAAGGGATTCCCAGGGCCTGGGGCCTGGTTGGGTTCGAGGTCTCATGAGCGCAGCGTGTGTGATCCAAGCCCTCGTCGAGTCGGACCAATGCCTCAGCCCGGCCATGGGCTGAAGAACGCCATTCTCCACCTAATTCGTGGCAGCAGTAGCGTCGTAGTCGAGCAAATGCTCACAAGCCAGTGGTCACCGCAAGTGGCGTTACGCACAGCGCTATGAGGATGTGCCTCCGCACTTCATCCACAGGTCATGCTCGGCCAACAAATTGGGCTCTCCGGGGCTTGCAGTCCCTCTGGCATGAGCATGGTCAACGCAGGGACCGGTGGATGGAGCTCTTTGTCCAGCCGAGTGTTGCCTGAAACCTACCCTGGACAAGCCCCATGATCTGGGAAAAAACTGAAGGATCCCAAACCAACACAGAACCCCCCCATAATATGAACCAGCAGTGGAAAATAGGGGGACCCCCTCAAAATGGTGGTTGTCCGATTGGTGTCCCTTTTAAACCATGTCAATCTAATCAGAGTACCCTCGCAAAAAGACGAGAGAACCGCCAAGATTTCAGACCCTCATCATGGCTGGTCACTCGCTTCACCTCCAGCTGAGCTTCCTACAAGTTGTGCACAAACCCACAGCTCGGAAGACAACGTTCCGCTTGGCAAAGGGGCCAGTGCAAATGAATGTTGGTGGAAGGCTACCCGTTATTCCCAATATCGGGGCAAGCACGCTTGCCCTTTCCTCACTTCCGGAGTGGATTGGCAAACAACTGTTTACCACTAAAATGGTCTTCCGTAAAGGTGAAAAGTCCACTAAGTCAGGAAGTGAGTTTCTGTGCCCATCTGGATGGATTCTGATCATTTATCAACCGAGACATGAACCCAAGTCAGGAACCGATACGGTATGGTTGCAAAGGGCATGGGCCAATGGCCTACCCAATGCCGCAAAAACCAAGAGGCCGAAACAGCGAATTTGCAGATGTCCCGTGAGCATCGGCAAATGGGCGCACCCTGCCCAGTCACCTAAAACCCGAAACCCTTCTGGAAGCTGTAATAAAACTCATAACCAAACACTTCAACATTGAAGACAACACTAAACATAATACAGTTCAAATGAAGCCGAGAACCCAAGCAAAAGGGAGACTATGTGCCACTGCCGCTGTAGGGCCTCCCTTCATTGAGGGGGGGGGTCCAGAAATCGGTCCCCAAAATAGAAACGTGAAAAAATTATATATCTCTTTTTTGGGGCCGCCTGAGAACCTGCATCTGTCCCCAGCCAAATGGCAAGGGGGTTCCTTTTGTTCTGCTTTAAACACAAGTCAAAAGCGAGTCTGAAATCCAGCTGGGGCTGTGTCAAAAACGGGGGACCCAAAAAATAGTGGCTTTCCTTTTAGCTCCCCTTCGATTCCTATCCCAAAAAGCGATTCCTATCCCAAAATCGTAGCCTCAAAAAATAAAAAGCACGACCCGAGTTTCGGACACTCCCTCATAACAGCAACATTGACCCCAGGCGTCCCTGCACGGCTGCTACCTTTACTGGCGCGGCTGCTGCCTCACAAGCAACCCCAGCGATCACCGGATGGTTAGAAAACGTGATCGCCTCGCATGACTTCCCTTGTACCCGCAAAGGGAACATGCGCCATAGTCTCCTCCGGAAAAGAACTCCTGATGTGGGACATGGTCATGGCTCCCTCAATTCGAACCTTTGAATTGCATTTTTGTTACTCTCCCACTCCCACCAGCAAAAAGACCCTTTCCAAGAGGAAAGTAGTCTTTCTACAGGGGTCTGTGCACTTCCATGTTAGCTGGTGGGAGGGTAATATGTCATGTCTATCAAGAGGTTGATGACCATCACTGCCAAGGGGCTCTTGACCATGGGGAACCCGCATCTGGGCAAACTGCTACAATTCCCGAATCGGACATAAGGAAACTCCAAGATGATTGGTGAGCTTTTTTTAAAACCCTAGGTGAGCTTGCTGTAATTTGGTTAGCTTCATCGGAGGTGCCCCTTTCCATACTTTACTTCGGGGTGGGGATGCCCGCCGCAAAACATACTTAAGTAGATTCCAACCAAGCTCTCAAACAAGCAAAAGACAAACATCCGCCACTACCGCTCAGCTCGTAGCTTGACAGTAGCAGAGTTGGCTGGAAGGCTAGGGCGGCTTAAGCACCAAGCTCCTACGGTCAGTAATCAAGTTGCACCTCGCACATGGCCGGACACAAATTACTTCAGCCTCCACGATGTACTACGAGTACAACCAGCCTGGAAGCTCAGGCCGTAGATTCACCTCCTTTCATTTGATGTGGGAAGTTGGACACTGGGAGGGCGTTGCCAGGAAACCCAAGCGGCATCCCAGCAGAAGCATCTAGGAAAGGATGTTTCCTACATTAGCCGGCCCGATCGAAATCCCGGGGCCTAATCTCAATCCGTAATCCGCTTAATCCGTAGTCCGCGCTTCAAACTTTGGGTCAAAACATTTCAAAACCACATGTTGCAGCATGGAACATCCGTGCAACCCATATTCCGCCACAAAATCTAATCCTCAAACTGCGCAATCGGCAATCCGCTACTCACTGGGATAAGGTTTGAAACGAGATAGACTAGAGACCCCAAACCAAGGATGGGCGGGCTTGCTCTTCAGTCCTTTGAGCAACCAAACCGGACATTGGAAGCATCAGACGCCTCATCAAAAGCATCCAACTTCCATCTAGCAGGTCGTACCACTCCGCTTCCGCATGCTTCTGCTGACATGGAGGCATCCGTCCCATAGTGCTGGAGAATAACTCTTGTGATGCCAAAGTAGCCGATTCCCATGACTACTTTATAACTTCAAAAGGGGATTCCCTTTGGTATCACAAAAAGTGGCTCTGAAACCAAAGCGGTGCCCCTGCTTCTCCGACTGAACCTGCTTCTAGCTCCATCTTACCTCTTGATGGACCCAAAAACAGCTTGGGGGAGCAACAAAGAAAAGGGTCCATGGAATGTCCACACACCTGCTTGCTTGTCCAAAAAAAAAACAGCGGAACCCCAAGAAACACCTTCTCTTTCTGCTTCACAGCTCCCCTTTTTGTTGGGTTGGCGTCCACTTCCCCGCCCTTTCGGTGCTTCCAGGTGCTTTCGGCGCCTTCTTCCCCCGGGTTTTCCCGCGCGCCTTGGGCCCCACCACCTTGTCGTAGCGCTGGGCGTTCACCTCCCCCCCGTTCATCGCCAGGCGCACGGCGCGCCGGAACTCCTCGGGGTCTGCCGCCAGCCTCGGACGAGCGGCTGGAGGCGACAGCTCGCGGCCGGCGGCTGGCGACGGCTGGTGACTGGAGGCGACTGGAGGAGGCGGAGGTGTTTGGATGCCAAAACTTTCAGAGTTGGTCACCCCTCCTTTTTCCGTTTTTTGTTTTTCTGACTTGGTAACCTGCTGGTTTAAGGGGTTTGATTGGAAACTACCAGGAAAACCGTGCTAGTTTGGTGGTCCCCTAAACCAGGCGATTGAGGAGTTTAGGAGTTTAGGGGTAGAGTGCAGGGTTGAAGGGGGCACGGGGGTTACACAGGGTGCGAGGCACAATGGTTACAAAATGCACACTACAGGAGGTGCGGGGGTTGAGGGCACAAGCCCACCACAGGACCACAGGACCACAACGGGATTACTTGTCTATGACCGGTCAGGGGGCGGGGGCGGGTGCAACGCTGTAATTACCAGGGACATATTGCACTGTATCACATGGTAGTTGATCCGGTCTCCCCTTCCGCGCAAAGCTATTTTGGCAAAACACCACTCCTTGCAGAAGTAAACTAGTAAGTTGCTAAGCACCAAACACCTTCTGTGCCCAGAACTAGTAGACCTGATTAGTCGCTGTAGTCGCCCCCCATTAGGATTGGGGAATCGGCCCCTGTTGGGGGGTCCTTGACAACCATCTGGATGGTTGCGAAATGCTGCACCTCAGAAACCCGTGTTTCCGATGATTCCCCAACGTACCAAGAAACGCCACGGTTTCGTTCATTTCGTGGAGCGAAATGGGTTTCGCAACCATCCGCAGTAGGATATGGCTGTGGTTCAAAAATTAAACCACCCGACCGCAGGTTCAATCGTCCTTGGTTCCATGTACAAGTGTTCCATTTTGAGTACCTAGTCTTTGACCCACAGCCATCTGCTAGACACCTATTTCTGACCCACTGCCATATTTTTCGACACCTATTTTTGACGTCACCGCCATCAAGCTGGAACCAGGTCAGCTCTGCACAACTCGAGTCCAAGCCGCAGCGTCGCGGCCTCCGGGTTCAAAGGGCTTGGCACCGACGCCGGCGCCTTGACCTCACGAGACGGACGAGCCGCCGGGCACCGGCGGCATGGGAGGCATGGGGTGTGAAGCCAACCCGCATGGAATTCTGCTGAGTGATCCCCCCATGGTCTCCTGCATTTCTAGGGATTTTGGTGAGTGTGGCCAGGTGCCCATTGGAGAAAAAGGCTGGAAATGGTGAATGAGAATCAAACCAAAACCAGCAAAATCTATGTCTAACCCAAAGATCAAGAACCGATCAAAGAGACACCCTCTAAAAAAGGCCGAAGAAGGCATCGGAGGATGGATCCTGTCAATCCTTCAGTGCTTCGGTCGATCCTTTTTAGTGGAGATCCACTGTTCGGTGTGGGATCGACGACATTCCACCCCTTTCACCTCTTGATAATTTAGCAAGCCACTCGCTTGGCTGGATGTCCAGATTCTGAAGATTCTAACATGGTGTAAACTACGCCAGGAGCATGCGAGGAACTCTTGCTGGAACCGGCTCCCTTGTGGCCAAATGGCCAAATGCGCAAAACCCAAATAGCATGGATTCTTGAAACTAGATGACCCAAGTCCTCCAAATGGTGCACGAGCGATGTGTCTCTCAGTTGCCCAAACGACCCAACAAATATGAGTGATCTTCCCGACGTTCAGTGCCAGCAAACTAGAACTTTCCAGGCAAACAACTGTTTTGTCAAGCGCTGTTGCTCGAAACCCCCGCTCCGGATTGCCTTGAAACGTGCCATTTGGTTTGGGAAGCTTGCCGTTTGGGTTGCGAGGTCGCTGCTTCGAATAGCATAGTGACAAGAAAAGTGCCCGAAATATCCAGGAAAGCCAAGGCCCTCGCTGCCAGCAAAGGAGCCAGCCAGGCACTTGTTTACATAAGCATATACGTAGTACGCTCTCGCTGGAACCTGTCCCTAAGGCCTATGCCAAACAAACATCAAGGCAGATGCAAACCAAACCGAAGGCCCTTCCAAGCTCTTGAAGTCAGGGCCCTCTGATGCACTCATTTACCCACGCAAAGCCATGGGACGTGCATAGATAAAGCGGCCCCCTTCATGGATGCGGGGGTATATATGCCTTAGAGTGACCCCCCGTCTACGCTGTCGGTTTGGGTTCCGCGCCAAGGTCGTGAGAGCACTCAGAAGGGAGCTCAGCTTGAGCTCTGTAGCGTCCCCCAGCTCCGGCTGACCTGCCGGGTCCCGGGCGCGAGCCGCGATGGTCGCAAGGGGATTGGTGACAAATGGTTGGCTACGTAGTGCGAAATAACCACCGTTCAAAAAAAACACTATGCTTAAGAGCAAGGCTCCGGAGGGATAGAGTCCGGTGTCTGCAGGTTGAAATACTTGAGGCCGGGAGTCGGCTTTTTCAGCTCGTGTTTCAAGCCTCTCAGCTTGCTTTGGAGGCGACCTTGAGGGCTGCCTTGGACAACTCATCTGGCACTAAATCGAGGGCATGGAAGAATAAACCATCCCCTTGTCGGTTTGCGAATAAAACAAGATTGACCCACAAGCTTGGCGCAAGGCGGCCGCCGGTCAAGGAAAACCAAACCTACTTTCTGCCTTCTTGTGCGTGGTCAGTTTTCAGGAACCGCTCGGACCAACAGCATCTGGCAAGGGGTCCTGGGTGGCTGACGCCGGCTCAACGGCCATGCTCCGGGAACATGAAATGGCCCTTCCGAGAAATCCAAATTGAGTTGCCCGGGTGTGTTTGCACATAGAACATAGAAGCCAAGGGATACCCCCAAACCTCCAGTGGCCACAGGGAAAAAATGGACACCCCTTTCGGGTAATTACCTTAACGGTAACCCCCTCAGAAAAGAAAGAGAATGCCCCTCTTAGATGAGGCGTGAGTGCGCCCAAGTTTGTTGGCAGCGACACACTCAACAAACACCTGTATGTGAGGTCACACCACAACAGTTTCACACCAGTAAGTACAGTAGTCAGCACAGGTTGTTAAACAACAAGTGCGCAGTTTACACACGTTTGTTTTACCACCTAACAGCCGGCATAGTTACAATCTTTTAGGGTAGATACATCAGCCATGGATCGACCCTGTCTTTATGTCCACTACATCCTTTCCCAACATCTTTTGGGATCTACATTTGCATGTGAGTTTGCACATGTCTCAGACAATGTTTTGATACATCTCTGCAGCCATTTGTTTTACATCAGTTTGGTCTGGAGGTACATCGTGTCCATACATCGCAATGGACATGCAGCCAATTACACCTCTGCCCATGATCGCACATGCACGTTTGCCGGAGAGGTACAACGACCGCATGACCACATCGGTAGTCGACATCGGCTTCATCAGGGCTGACAACATCAAGGGCACAGACCATGGCTTCACAGCTTGGCACAACCTCTCGTTGGCCAACCACAGCAATGCGCTGTACATCGCCCTCACCACCGAGGAGTACATCTCGTTTGTGGGAGACACACCCCGACATCGCTGGAGAAGGTTGGATACATCCCGGGCAACTTGCCTACCCGTCATTCGACTTTACAGTCCTTACAACAAATCCACATGATGCAGTGATGACAACACTGTATCTCATGAGCGAAGGCAAGCTGGCTACAGCGAATACAACCGACCTCTACATCATTGCGTGGCACTGTGACATGACAAAGCTTTGGGATCTTACATCAAGGTCCAAAGCCAATACATTTAACAGGGGCTACACGCTGCAACAGTTATAGATCTACAGCAATGGCGTTTGGCAGTTGAGTCCCACAGAGAAGGACAGCATCATAGCATGGCGCTTGGTACATCGTACATGTTTCTTTGACATCTACAGCAAGTACACCTGGAAGGCAGGCTACATGCATTCGTACAACGCCATTTTGTCCCTCGACAGTTTGCTTACGTCAGGACACCACCTATGCTGGACGGTCACGAGCTTTGGACTACACAGGACTTTCCTCTTTGAGTTACATGTTCCCACAGCATTCCTCTGCAGTCATTACAAAGCAGCAGTGAAGCCCATGGAACAAATGCGTGGTCACACTGACCATGCGGCATTCCGCACAACGAGGAACATCATCCTCTACCCGGAGTACATGGAGAACATCAACGACTACAGGAGCCTGTACAATGCAGATACAACCACGGAGAACATGGAGGAGGACAAGAAGAGGAAGAGAGCCGCGTAGACAATCAGTCTACATTTTGCCACGATGGCACACCGCAATTCATGATACAATTGCTCCGACAGCGAAGGACATCGATGTATAGCACATCTGCTTTCTGGCTATCAGTTCACATGCAGTGGTTTTCTTACATCATCCTGATCCACAAGGACAGTTGTACAATTTTGGCAAAGTGTGCTAAGATAGCACAATTTGAGGAGGGGTGTTAATGTACATCCATCCTTGTACATGACCCTGGCCTTTGTACATCGAGGCCTTGAGCCTATCTACATGATAGAGCTACAGCCCTCGCCCGCAGAGACAACAATTGCCGCGCTGTCACATCACAGGTTTGGCACATTTAGGTCATCAGGTGTTTACACGCTTAGTTCCACTTTAACAATATCCATACCTATATGTATATCTATACAGATGTGTGTATATATATATAAACTAAATATACATATATATATATATATATATTAATATACATATGGGAGTCGCTTCTCATCGCCAACCCCAGTGCCTGGAATGGCCACAGCGCCAGTCTGGGCGTCGATGCTTGGGTGGAAGACACCTGGCACGGCCAGCCAGGCAAGGAATTTGTGAAGCGTATCCGGCCGCATGGAGACAGGGACCCTGGTCGTGCGCTTCTTGCACGTTTTGAGGCTTCCAGCCTCAGAGTCCCCAAAGGTCTCTCCTTAAAAAAGGGATCCTGTTTGCTCGTTGCCTCGTGGCCAAAATTATGGTTAAAGATGAGCGGCCCCTGCTGAATGCTTGCCTTCGCAACAAACTACGGGTGCGCCTTGTTTTCAGTGGCGATCCAAACAAGAACTTGTTTTCCAATGGACAAGCAACAGCAACTTATGTTGGGATACAGAGGCAGAAAAACAGAAACAGTCTGTGCTTGTGGCAAATCACGGTGTTTCAAGGATCCATCTCACGTTGGCTCGCGCCAACTTCAGAAAGGGCGAACCTTCTGGGCAGAACGGGGTGTAGAGTTGGGGGCTCCCAAAAAGGAGCCGGACCCCAAACCACTGGCGGGTGTCCAATTTAAAGGCCATGCAAAAAAAGGGTCCGTGTTGATTGGGCTGTTCCCAGATCCCGCGCTCAAAAAAAACACGCTTAGCACAGGGAGCATTCTCTATCCTCAAGGGCTGCTCCTGCCACTCTTCTCTTTCCCTCTCGTTTCTCCCCTTCGTGTCGCCTCACCTTCACTTCCGAAAGCCATCTGCATACGCTATATTTTCGTATAGGCCATCTGATCCTCTGTAAGCTATCTGCAAAAGCTATCTTGTTGCATGCGCTATCTGATCTTCCGAAGCTATCTATGCGCGCAAGCTACCTTTCAATTGGTTTCGTTTCTTCTTAACTTCCTTTGACTAAAAATGATAACACTAATAACAATAACAGCCCGCCCTACTTGAAATAAATAATGCCCAAGAAGAGGACCTTTATCCAATATTAATCCGGGGCTCCGCACAAAGTCGCGCCACCACCGGGACCCAAAAGCGAGATTTGAGAACGGGTCTCTCGACTTGCAACCACTTTAGGGGACCAACAGTAACCATATTTGATAACCGACAGTGAGTGGATAAAACCCGGGATGGTCACAGCTGGGGTTGGTCCCCTCATAATCATGGCTACGAGCTGATATGAGCTGATAAGGCTAAATGGTGGTTTAGGGTGAAACCAAACTCCGGAAGAGCCGTTGGGAAATGCTAGTGCTTGTTCAGCCCCTACTTCCCTAAAATTACCAACTTTCAGCTTCCATCTGATTGGTGTGTTGGATTGCCGGTTTGGTGTTAGGGAGAGGTTTCCCATTTGCTCTCTACAAGAGCCACGGCTTCAAATCCAGATCCAAATCCACGCACGAAGCCAAACCACCAACTAACCGAAACCTTCCATTTGCTTGAGTCCCCTGGAAAAAATGACATTTTTCCAATAGTCTATCGATAGACTCCTTGAAAACCAATAGGGGAAATGAAAAATCCAAATCCAAATCCAACCACGAATCCCAACCACCAACTAACCGAAACTAACTTGAGGCCCAAACCAAAAAACGAAAACTGTCGATTCAACCTTTGGCCAGCTGGGCGCTTGGTGCACCGCACGCTGACGCTGCCCGGGAGCGGGTACTCCTGGAAGATCTTCACCTCGGAACCGCGAAGGGAACGGCTCGAGGACCGAGGACCGACCCAAGATGCCCCCGTTGTTCGATGGGAACAATTGGGGGAGGGGGGGATGTTGTTTCTTTTGAGGCTACCCCCAAAAAATGATTAAAAAAAGAAATGGTAGGCTTTTTTTGGGTACCCCCTTCTATGGTCGGTCGGCTCCCCTTCAAAACTTACAACAAAGAAGGTACCAACTCAAAACGACATCCAAATCGAGGTAACCCAAAGGGGACAAGGGCAAGGGGAGCCGGGCGATCAGGCTCAGTCTGGGGAAGCTCCTCAAAGTCGGTGGACAGAACTCTCCGTGAAAGTTGGTGTGCACCAAGGAGTTCCGAATATTCAGATTCACTTTGACATGGGCGAACCCCCCAAAATGGTTGGACGTCTTCGTTTGGTTGCCCTTTCGAAAGCAAGTAAGATTTACCATATGTACCAAACAGCTTTTTGGGGGAGGGGTTCATACCTCCAAAAGGAGGTCACGAATGCAAGTCCAGTGGTCTTTAACTCTCCCTACTTCGCCAAGTTGCATTATGTGCTGACCTCGGCACAGGTGCATTTTCCCTTAAAATCCTGAAGAACAAAAACGCCGGCAAGATTGCATCTGTTCGGGGCCAAAAAGACCTTCGGGAATCAAAACTGTTAGCATGACTTGCTCCGGCGCAGCTGACAAAAGTGGGGTCTCTTTGAGATGGGGTTGTACAAAAAGTAAAAACACAGCGCCCACGTTCTGGATAAATCCACCTGAACATCTCAGCCAAGCCTGGTTTGTGAACAGGGCAACATCTCATAGATATAGATGATTAACTGCCAAATAAGGCTGCGCTCCCCGCTTCAAAGTACATCGGTGTATGAATCCGGGTTCCCAAGTGCATCATGGCCATCTCGCAAGGGCGGAAGGCTTCGCACGCTGGATGTCCGCACAAACTACTGTCCAAATCTGGAATCCCCATGTCCAGGAACCATCGCAACGGGTGAGCTCGTTTATCCTCCAAATGAGCCCGTATGACATCTGCAAATGCTACGGTTGATTTTCAAAACACACTAACAATCAAGCTCGGAGTGGTCAAAGAGTCAATGTCCACAGAACCTGTCTCTGAAACCTGGCCAAGGCACGGACAAAAACTCTGAAAGTGCCTCACAGTAAGTCTTCACCAAAACGAAGTTAAGGCGCAGTCCACCGACGCAGGGACCTTCATGGGAGCGGTACTTTGTGCAGGAGCCCCTTGCGGTTGGCATCAGCCGAATTGTCAGCCGCCGCTAAAATAGGATGCCGGGATACCTGTGAAAGGGATAGGGAAGTTGTCTGCAAAAAGGACCACTATCTGAACACATGTAGGCATGAGGGTCAGGCAGCATGCTTCTTTACCTTTGATGGTGCCCCTTGTCAAATTTAGTTTTAAAGGGAAACCAACAGGAAAACCACATCCCCTAAAAGGACACAGCCACAAGGCAGCTTCATCTTTCATCCGATCCAGGCCCCTTTGGCCCGCGGCCCAGAAAGTGAGCGATGCCGGCGTAAAAGGCCCCTGGCACCACGTCTTCAAGAAATTCAAGCGCAGCGGAAGCTTGCTAGGGCATAAAGTGGACATCATGTGCATGTTCCCCAACTATTTCCGGCTGGGACTGCCCCCTACTAAGCTTCATCTACCCGGGTTTTGACTGTGGCTCATCTGCAAGTTGAACACATGCGCGGCTTGCAAACGCTGGGGTCCCGCCGCAGCATTTCTCCGAACCATTAAAGCATCAAGCTGCGCCGGTCCTCGATAGTCGGTCCTAGATGGCAAGAACTTGCAGATCGTGCTATGCATAGACGGAACTCTACACAACTTGCTGGTTCTCAGCAGGGAATGAGGGAATGACCCCCTATAAACCATCCCCGTTGGTTTCCTGTAAGGGTGTCAGGAGAGAGCGCAAGAGCAAAGGCGCGCCTCGGCCACGTCGATGGTGTAAAAGAGCTGCGCGAAGGAGGCTTGGCTAGTCCTGGGCCGAGAGGGTCATATATCCCACCGAAGCTTTGGGCGGGAGGTCTGTACCAAATATCCGTGAAACTGCTTTATATGATCCAGGGTTAACTGCATAAGGACTCCCGACTTACGTGCCCGCCCAAAACAGTGTTAGCACAACCAGGATCCTTTCGAAAGCAAAATCAGCATTGATCATTGGCTCATTTCAATGTCCAACATCTGTTGTCACGGTGTAGTATGCAAGTCTCAGCATGATACCCCCTGCTAAATGGCTTCAAGAGGGCTTCAGGGCACTGCTCACTTTTTTCCTTGACAGAGTGCCTGTGTCCAGACACGCACAACCAACCCGCGGCCACAAATACGAGACAAGGCTGTCAATAAATCAATCACCATGCTGTGCAGTAGTGACAGCATAACACGTAGTCAAATAGTTTGCCAGTTGCAGCCAGCCATTGGAATAGATGCTGTGTGCATGTGACCCAAGGAAATTCTGCCTAGGAATCGTGCGGACCGGGTGGAGCTGTTGATGCTGCTGGAATCTGGCAACCGAATTCGCACACAACAACCGGGAGCGCGGTGCTTGTGTCTGCCCTCGATCATTCAACACATCGCAACTACTGCTCTGCGCGTTTGACAGGGCCGGGCCTCTTGTGGGGCCGTGGGTAAACACGTTCTGACCATTCGTCTGACCTGTGGCTGTGGGTCAAAACCAATGGTATCATTTTGGGGTAGATGCACCACCTATTTTAGAACCTATTTAAGTGGGGATTGGGATGTTCGCCAGGGGCACGATTTCGATTTTGACCCATGGCGATGTGCTTTGGAATGACTCGCCCTTGTGGTCGCCTTGGCCGTCGCGAATCGAAATGCTGCATTGCTGACAATGAAAACCTCCCTTTGCTTAAGTCTCTTGGAAAACATACAAAAACATATTTCCAGTAGTGACAGATTCCCTTTAAAACCAACAAGGGAAAATATAAAATATTCTTCGGCAAATGGAAGAAAATGCCTTCCTGAATAGGCTTAGGCCCTCGGCAGGTTTTAAAGCGAGGCGGAGCTGAATTCGACTGACGAAGCCTGTGTCAGTCCATTTGACCCATGCACCCAGCTGCCAAGGCCAACTACGGACTATCGATGAGGTAGCTCTGTCCGCCTTCGGTTTGTGGACTAGAGCAAACCTTTACCATCAGGGAAGTCCGTTTCCTGTTGCCTAGCTGCCGGACGAAGGCGAGAAGCTGTATGGCTGCCCTACTTGGGTGATGACCCCAACTTAGCAAGTAGGTTGAAGCCACTCCCAACTCCCCCAGTGATCACCTTGGCTATGATCAGCTCGCGTGGCCACAACATCAAAGTACACCAACCCAACGGCCACCCGCGAGCGTCAGGGCCCCAGCTCCAGCCGGCAGCCGTGGGGCAGCCGCAGTTGCGCCATCTCCTTGTGGGTCAACCCGTCTGAGGAACCCATGCTGCATGCCATGCCGATCAAAGCTTGGTGCGGGAGTTGGGGGTGGGGTTTGATTCAAATTTAAAGTCACACAGTGGGCCTCACTCAACGAATTGATCTGCTATAGCATGATTTTGTGGGATCCTGCTGGTCCGAGTGGTATTAGTCGCACGGCATGTGCAGGGCATTATTTATGGTAGAGTCCCTCATGCATTGTCGCGTTGGTCAAACAAGTGGCTCATAACTCATAATGGATCATCAAGTTGTCCTTTTCCGCCTTCAAGTAGATGTTGTTGTGTGTTTTGAGAAAATTAAACCTGGTAAAAAAAGAAGAGTATATGTTTTAAGATCACAGAATCACACATTGCGTATGTTGTAACTCCGGTTAAGTTCCTCGCCAGTAAGCATTGTTTGCGATGCGACTGGCTCAACGTCCAGGGAAATGAATGCGAACAATGAAACAAAACAATTGGAAGTCAAAGGCTAACAATCACAGCACTCCGGAACAAAGGCCCAAACAAAGCACTACTCTGAACGCCTATCAGCTCTTCCCTGAAAATAGGTTAGGCAGGCTGCATCACACCTCTCCTCAGATCAGCCGAGAGTTTGCGGCTCTGGCCTAGTCAAAACCTCAGAAAAAAAAGAGGCGGTTGTGATGCACGCAGGGCAGTCCACCCTGAGCTTAGCTGGGAAACAAAGGGGTGTCCTGTTGGCTGGACTAGGGGAAACCAAGCGACGAACTCAGACATTGCGGATCTTGGAATTATCACGTGCTCTACAGGAAGTCACAACTTAAAAATAACATAAAATAAAAAAAGTGTGAGAGCCAAGAGAAAGTGCTTGAAGGACTGTCGAATACAACTCAATAATTTCATAATATGTCATGTGTTCACCGTCCTCTCCAGCATCCATCTGCAGAAAAACGAGACAGCCGTCTGCGTGGGCACATGTGCTTCTCCTTTACTTCGTCCTGATCTGCTTAGGCTGTCAATGCATTAGCCCGTAAGAGACACAATTGCTGACAGCGTTTGTGCTGGTGGCGTTTGTGTTGCCCCTTCTCAAAGGAGACAACATTTCACGAACAACAGGTAGACACACTCAGACTGATGGCAAGTGGCACACAACATCTCCTCTTAGGCAGTGAGGAAGCAATGGGAACATACCAACGACATCTATCATCTAGACAAAACAACTACCACGGTCTACCATCTAGACAAAGACAATGCATTTCACCTGGTGATTTGGGGCAGGGTTTGGCTTTAGACACCCCTGGAAAACAAAGATGCCGAGAAGAGGGCTTGTACGCACAGGGGTTGATGTCCCCTGATTCGGGGCCAAGACGCCACACCCAATCTCCGATGCAGTCCTGTTAGACCGATGCCCAAGATCAAACAACACCCAAGACCAAACAAAGCAAAAGCAGACCACCAATGGAAATGTAGAATATTTTTTGCGCAAACACATGACATAGATCTCACAAGCAGATACAGCAAACCGCGGGGTAAAGGGAACCCAGCCACTCGACCCCCTGCGCAAGTCTCCTGGTGTGCGCGTGGCGCGCCCTGCAAATCCCAGGAGTCCTCTGCGGGAATTGCCCAAATTCCCATGTTGGGTCCTTAAGGACTCAAGGAAACCGGGGCCCCTTGACAATGGTGGTGTTCTGTACGGTTTTGGCGGGTAGATCGGTCTGGACCAGGCTTGGATTGCAGCAGGCACGCAAATCCCCGAGGTTCGGCCATTTTCAGAAAAGAATCCGTGGAAAGAATGGGTCTGAAGTACAGCTAGAATGGTACGGGCTGCATGGGTCCGAACTCCCCTTTGGGTTTCCTCTGTCAGACAGTTCAAAGGGCGCCCCATTTCTACCAAACACCTGAATTGGGAATGTCAGTGAAAAGTAGCTGGGCCTTCCTGGAATGCTTGAAAAAGGAAGCCAGGGCAAAACATCGCCGCCAGTTCCGCGGGCAGCCGTGTAGCCATGCAGCAGCGCAAGGGCAAATGGAACAGGCCTCTCGGGTTGTGTGTGGGGCGGGTATGGCAAGGTACCCAGCAACATGATCATTAGAGCCTGTAAGCATTGCAGGCAAGGAATTAGGCCAGTAGGCTGTAGAATGATCAACAAGCTTGACCAACATAATTGTTGTGCCTGTTTGGTATAGTGCGCACTATATCCTAATGCCATGAACATTTGACCATGAGGCAAGCGTCGTGTTCTCGAGAGAGTCATTGAGACCTCAATGACCACCGCAATCTAGAAGAATGGCAACAATCCCCTGAATACTGCGCATTGCAGGTACCTTGGGGATGTATCCTCTTTTCAGCAAGCATGAGAGCAGGAAGAAGGGAGTTGAAAAACTAACATCATACAAATGCCTCCTACCAGCTTCCTTGATTCTGAAGGATTTAAACATAACTCACACCTGGAAAACGGAATTTGGAATCACCAAGAAAGACGTATTCTTCCTCAGGGGTGTTTTGCGACACATCACACACCCTTTGCGCGGTGGACTGGTCTTTTCCCCGATCCACCACTCTTCTTGGCACGTTTTCGATCGGGAGGTGTAGAGTAGCTACTGACTTTAGGTGCGTCTTTCTTTCAACACCTGTTGGTCGGTTCTAAAGGGATACCTCAAGAGAAACTCATCTAGTGTCGAATCAAAGGGACCAACCTCGGACCCAGAAAGTCGGACCCACCTTGTATCATCCCCAATGGGGTTGATGAATTGGGGAAGCCATATACTCAGTTCATCTTAGGTCCTCAGCTGGATCGGACGTTCTGGGTCCGTTTGATGGCACTGCCCAACTCTTCAGCTCGGCCAGGAGAACTTGAAGCCCAAAGCTAAGCATCGCCCACTCTTCCAATGGGATGCCAAAATCCCAAGGTGGTCATGTTTGCAACCTGGTGGATCGACACAAAAGTCGCCTGCCATTGCCACCCCCAACAAAAACAACATCACAGGTGGGTATCTTCGCTTGTCAAAAAACACGCACGCACATCTGGAGCGCAGCATTTACACACACAAGTGTCCAACAAATACGTGCAAAGTTCTTTCATGACCTCTGGGTTGTGCTTGTGCGCGTGCTGCGGCCAACCTCTGCGGCATCCGGCGCATCCGCAGTCACAGGATCTTCCTCAGATACACGGGTCACATGTCACAGACTTCACACTGTCTCAGTCACCCGCGAGTCCTAATCATCCATGCGGTTCAAGTCGATCCGGACAAGCTGTGAGAGACGACATGAGCCCTAAATCGTCGCCGAGAAGCCTCAGGATAAGCCAACTAGGAACAAGGTACAACAAAAATACACTGTGTGTGTCCCGATGTGTCAAGCAAGTACAGTCAAGTCAAGTCAGCCAACGATCAAGCAAAAGCAAGCAGGACACACAAGCCCAAACACAAACAAATAAACCAAGAGGCAACTAGAATACATGTGATCACTGGGCATGGCTCAGGCGAATTTTGCACAAAGAATTGCAATCACCTTGTTGCCATGTTGAAATGCGGAAATGTTCAGTGAAAATACCTGACAATGGGAACTTCTGATAACCCCACCCCCAGTTATCAATCAAAGGGGGTCCTTTTTAGTTGGGGATTCCTCCACGGCAATTCCTGTCCAACTGCAAAAACACAAGCGTCAAAACCAGGGACCCTTGTGGGGACGGTTAAAGGACACCATCCATTTTCTACGTTGTGCCCCCACTAAGATGAGTATGAGTCAAATAGCGGGCCCCCAAAAAGATCGGTGTTCCTTTTCGTTGCCCTTTGAACCAAGGTGAAATGTGCAACCTCTACAAAAGCACACACCCCAATAGACATCCCCGTGTTCCCGCCAAAAACCCGGGCCCCCAGCATCCACCGAGGTCACCGTAAGACAGCTGGCAGGCCTCGGCTCGATTAATCCGAGATCCTGGGGTCTGTGGGTTGCTCCAAACTTTCTGAGCGAAAGATCCTTAGGCCTTAGACATATTCCACGTCCTCCAGTAGAGAGGTGAGTGGGAGGGTAAAGTCACTTCGTTCGTCTCTGCACAAATCGCTTTGCAAATTTCACAATGCGGCCACCTGAAGAAACGGGGGTCACTGCGCATCTGCGAATTGCCACCTTCTGCTGGATTCACTGCGAAATGATCTGCCAATGCTCCAGGACCAAGCCAGCCGGGATGGAGGATCCGACCTTCCACCCAGCCCCAAGCCAAAGCCTTCCCCAAGGGTTGCTCCAACTACCCTGGCACAGAGGGGGGGGGGATAAAAGTGCAACCCACGGTGTTCCAACCGCGAACGAGCACAGGCTCGTGATCACTTTTGTGTAGGCTTTAATGGAAAACCCTTTCTTGGTGCGATAGGCATGAAATGAGACATGGAATGATCTCTGCTAACCATCCCTATGTTTTCCTTTGAGGGAATTTCCAGGTTCATTCCATTTCTCATTCCCTGATTCCATTCCCGAATAAAAGGGAAACCATGGGAACCGTATTCTTGGTCTTGTCTTTTTTCCGGGATCACATTCCAACCCATCCCAACTTGTGGTTTCCTTTATTCGGGAATCCCCCAGGTTCATTCCATTTCTCATTCCCTCCTTCCCTGATCTCTGTTATCCCCTGGTCCGTTCCCCGCTTCCCCGCATCTCTCGCGCCACCAGACGGCCCCGGGGCGCTTCGGTCACAAGCCGAGAGGCGCAGTGGTGGACTCCGAGCCGCCGGTGGGCGGCCTGGGACAATCCCAGCGTGTCTAAGGGCGCAACCACGTGCACCCTGAAGTGGCTACCCCACGTATATATATATATATATATATGCACATAGTTCTTTCATTTATCATGCATATGTATTCATGCACAACTATGACATATATATATATAATATATATATATATGTAGAGATACATGTACACAAGCACAACGTGCATCAACTGAATGTGTACTACACTCAAGTCTATGTATGTATACATAATATATATATATATACATATATATATGCTTGGTCTACGATGTATGGCAAGGTAATGCGTGTTGTCATGTCATGTGCATGGGCACATGCATTCACCTCCTCCAGGCGCACGTGGTTGGGCCCGTCCATGCGTGGGAGCCCCTTTGAGATTTTGAGGTGGGTTTCACCGACTCACAGCACTTGCCCTGCGACTCCCAAGCTAGAAACTCTTGAAACAACTCCGTTTGCAACGAAGCGTTGCCTCTTTCTCTTCTAATACAAATTGGCAGCGGCAATGTTGCTAGGGGGTCCGTCATGAGGCGGTCTGGAACATGAAACTCCGCTCTCTCAGCGATGCCGCATTGATTGCCGGATTTGGGATTCAAGATGTGTCAATGTGGAATTGTGCTTGTCCACAGGATCCTCATCAATAAAACACAATATAATCCTAGCCTTTTATCTTCTAATAATCTTTTTTTTTTGATATCTTTTCATATTTATTTTCATATTGTAAATCATTAAAAATCTTAACATCAACCATAAAAGCTAGGATTGTCCAAATTAAGAGAACTAATATACTAAATATGATGCAATAATATATTTGTTGGGTCACTTTCCTCTCTTTCTTGTTTGTTGGTTTTCATGTTATCTTCATTCTAATGGTGCATCATTTGTCTTTCTTTTTATATTTCTCACATCGAGAAAGTCACTCACAGGAAACCTGAGGAACATGTTGCTCGGGGAGTTTCCATCCCGCTTCAGCTTCCGGCAAAAGTGATCAACAATGATCGGATGAGGGTCTGAGTCCCGAACTGTCCCTACTCTTTCACCCTACCATCATGTCTTAGCTAGCACCCACCTTAGTTTGATGAGCATCATGAGCTGCCAGACTGCCTCCTCCTGCTCTCGGCCCGTGCCCCTGCCTTGCATTCTCACCTGGCCATGCGCTTGCACACAGGTTTGTCTGAAAATGGTGAGCTCCAGTATGGGGTCCGTCTTCCCTCTTTTTTTTATGTCCTGCACAAACCCAAAGGGATACTCTAACAAAAAGGAACCAGCCCCGCATCTTTCGAAACCCTCCAACATCCGGGTGTGGCTCAAGAAAAAGGGGTCCAAAATGGAGCCCTAGCTGTTTAATTTTGAGCCACACCCGTCTGGACTCAATTCCGCAAAGCGAGCGCAACGCTTCCCTCCAGGTTCCCTTTCGAACCACCCCAGAAGCACAAACCCAACTAATCAAAAGCACCCAACCCCCTTAAAAATCCCTTTCAAAGCGCCAACTGATTCTTTCTGCAGGCCAGAGCCAAGTCCAAGCACCCCGCCCTTCGTCTCTTTTGACATCAAAGCTTTGTTACACGTGTTTGTTGTGCGTCTTTTTTCCTGCTTGTTCTAGGGACCTTGTCGTTTTTGCTTTGTTCCATGCTTGTTTGTTGCATGCTTTCTGTTTCTTTCTTTTTGTGTTCACTGTGGACACCTTTTTGTCGACCGCTTTCTGTTCGGAGGCAGCACTTGGGTTGCGCTGCGCCAAGCCCCAAGCGCCCGGGGCCTCGGTCGCGGCGTGCCAGGTGCGCCGTGAGCTCCTCCAGCTCTAAGAGCTGCTCCGCCAGCTCCTCGTCCTCCGATGGGCGTCTTGGAGGTGGGAAAGGGCTCGTAGGAGCCACGGTCAGCATTCTAGGGGTTGAGTCAACGATGACCGCAGTGGATGGCACCAGGGTTTTATTGGAGCGACTCATCGGCTTCGGGTTCTACCAGCATGGCTATCAAGGCGTAAGACTTAAACTATTCCTAATTATCTAGGCGTTGATTCCATTTCCATTCTTTTCAACCATCGTTCTTTTCAAAAACCGATCGCTGTTTTCCCAGGGTGAAAGTGGATTTCCTTCTTGGCTTCCCCTGCAAAACCACCATTTAAAGGGGGCACCCCCCGAAGGCACACCCAAAATTCGCGTGACAAAAAAACCTCAAATATGAATTGGATCCCCGGGCAAAGGGTAAGGTTCTGTGGATGGGCGAAATCCATTTCGCACGACTTCGAAGCCGTGGGACACCATTTTCTTAGTAGTTACAGGGGACTCAGCACTCCAGGGTTGCTTAGGTGGTGCAGGATTTCGTCCATCCACAGTAGGAGCCACGGTCATAATCTTGCTTTCCCCTTGCTTCCCCCTACTAGAGCGTCTGAAATTGTCTGAGCTCTCAAGTTTTTGTGGGAGTTTTTGTTGACTCGCCCAGCCATGGTCATAATAACTTGCTGTCCCCTATGAGGCGAGTGAAATTTAGCGAGTCCTTTTTTATTGTGGGATTTTTGTGAGCTCCCCTACAGGGCGTTGTGAGATTTAGTGAATCCCTGGGGTTTGTGTTTGTTTCTTTGCCCCCAGAGATCACTGGTTCCCTAATGGATAACTTGACTGAGTCTCACATGACTGAAGTTGGATAGACCGCTGATGGCCGCAAGTAACAAGCTTCCATGGGGTGACACACTCAAAAACTGGCGCAAGACTCAACGAAACGCAAGATGGCGCCGCAGCAACATGTAGGAACGTTTTCCCCGCGAAACTCTGGAGTACATGCGGCGTGTTCCAACTGATCCCAATGACATTTACGCTGCTTCAAGACTGATCTTGTCATGCTGTAAGACTCCCAACGGCTCAGAACTTCCACGGGATCTCCAGAAGCCCCGCATGGACGTTGGCCCGCCAAATGGTGGGACACATCTTCTTCGTGGAGGCTGCAAGAAGGTGCGGCCACATGAGTGGCCGCATGTCATGGCCACGTGGTTTCTGGCAAGCCCTGCAAACTCTTGAGTACTCGTGTGCCTGTGGCATGTTCCCAGTGACATTTACTCCTGGTATTGAACCATGGTGAACAACCAAGAGTGATATAAGAACCTATTGTGGTTGGGATTGTCCCTTAATTACTGAGCCTCAACGTCGGCCATCCCCATGACTGCTTTATCGCAGAACACGGGCCAAAGCAAACCCCACTAGCAATGTAAAATTGCCCCAAAGATGTAAGCTAAGGGCGTTCTGGATCGGCGGGTTGCAGGCCCCAGCTGCACTTGGCGCACTTAGGGCGGTGGTTGGGGATTGGTTGGGGGGGTTGGTTCAACAAATCGGGCCAAAAATTGGGGGGGGGGGGGGTGAGACAGGGGGGTGGCCACAAAATGGGGCGTCACTCCGCCCTGGCCCAAAGCTTGCCTCCGACTCGCCGTCAGCGCTGGGCGAATAGCCTGCGGCTCTGGGCTCGACGCGGCCGACATGGCATGTGCGGACAAGAGCCTGATGGACATACACAGACCGCAGTGTCCCAAAACAAAAAAACAACACAGCCTGACAAGAGATCCAACACAAAACCAACTCCTTGCAAGCGTCCCTCCGTCACAAATGAAACCAAGTCCCCCATTTCAGCTCGAACCCTCGCCGGCCTGCGTCCTCGCTGCGCGCGGGCTCCTCGCCCTTCGGGGCGGCCTCCGCGGCGTTCTGCGCGAGCGCGTCGCTCCGGGAGCTGCCGCCTCTCGAGGATTTGGCGCCTGCGGAGGGCGAGCGCGGCAGGACCAGCGCCGGCAAGCCTCGCGGCCGCTGGCGCGTCAGGGGAGCGAGCTGGCGCTCGAGCGAGGAGGACCCCAAGCACACAATGCGAGCTGTCACCAGGAGGCTTCAGACTTGCTGACTTGAGCTGCGCCCATGCCGCGCCCACAAAACGGGATTCTCCCGTCACTTCTCCACTATCAAAGCAAAAAACCCTTGGCTCACAGAAAGTGACAACCCCAAAGCAACGGAAACAAAGAACGACACCTTCGCAGGTGTGGGCCAACCACACGGCGCCCCATTTCCCCCTCTCCCGCTCACCATGGACACTAGAAGGGAAGCCATGTTTGCAGACTCAAACTCATATAACACCAATACCCTAGGAGTGGTTGCAAAATGTTGCAAAGTAGACACTAAGTCTCCACCATACAACTCACTTAGTAAGACTGAATAAGTCACTCGCACTGTCGCAAGAAAAACCGGGGTAGTTCCCTGATAATGACGGTTCAAACAGACCTACTCAGTAAATGGGCGTGTTTTGAGATTCCCCTGGGGCCGCTAAAAGAACACTGCAGGAACACTTCAGGGAAACCAATTCTTGGGGGCTCCCCCCCCCAACCCCAACCTGCCTGGCGCCGGAGCGCTCCGCGCCAGCCGCGGCGACGGGGTCGGCGGCAGCGAGTTGGTCCGGGACCCGAAGTCTCGGCGCCGGTCGCTGGGTCCTGCGGCCGCGGCCGCGGCGCTGGAAGGGGCCGGAAGCTTTGGGTGGGGATGTGCAAGTTGGGGGGACGGGAGTGATGGGGAGGGGGGAAGGGGGAGGGGGGGGGATCCCTAGAATTGCGAACATGCCAAAGTTTGGACAAACCACTGGGAAAACCCTACAACCTAAGGCAAACCAACAGTCAGGTTCAAAACAGTAGTAGGACCGAACCATACCAAAGTCTGCGTTTTAGGATTCATCTTTACTCCAGAACTTTAGACAATTGCTTTCCCCTGGAAATCCAACCACTAAGCTAGGTTCTAAAATGGGTGGTGAATTCACCTACCAACCAAAATGGGATCCCAAAACGGTTTGGACCACCACAGCCAGGATACACATGGCTGTGGCTCAAAATAGTGTACCCAAAATGTTCCCTAGGCAAATGGAAACAAAGGCCAACACCTGCGTAACCCTGGCTCTTAAATTTTGAGCCACGCCCACATAAAAATTCCCACACACGCCCAAACGCCCTGCAGCTCCTCCAAGCCGTGCGCTGCGGGCACTGCGGAAAGCCATGGCGTTCCATGCGCCGGCGAGTTCGCGCTCGCCGGTTTCTTTGTTTGCTTTGCGTTTCGGGGAAGGGGGCTGGAGGTGGACTGGGGTCTTGTTTGCCGTCTTTGGCCGTGTGAAACTTAGGTAGCGGGCATGCTGTTGACACCGTTCTTCCGGGGGGCCAGCCGCCCTCATGCCGAAGACAAGAGCTTAGATCGCTAGTGTAAAGTTTGTATGCGGCAATATCTGATTTGACTTAAAGGCTGGACAAACTCATTCACGCCGCTTCTTTGCCCGGGCAAGAGCTGTGTCGAGGCGAGTGCCGCCATAAGGGCTCCAGTTGCCAACTTCAGGAAGATGACAAGTCTTGGCGTGTCTTTGCACTGATACCTTCGCGATGCGAGCCATGGCGGGGCATGCAGGTCCCCGGCGATCGTCCCAGGCTGGGGGCTGTGGAGCATAGCAGTTGTGCCTCACCATGTCTGCACCGCTGTCTACCATTGACCTCTGCAACCTTTACCGCAGCTGACTCCCTACGATCATTTGGATTTGTTCCCCACCTGCCTTCACTTCACAACCCTTGGTCTGGTAGCAAACAACTTGCTTTTTGCAGCCCCCTACTAAAACCGAACAGACCCAAACAACCAAAAAAAACCTTGCCAAGAACAGTGAAGTTCAACTAGTTTTCTGGTTGAAAACAACCAAACAACCTCTATTTTGCTTAAGTCCGCGGGAAAAATGCGATTCTTTTGGTGCTAGATTCCCTTTAAACCAACAGGGGAAAATAGCAGATATCCCGAAACGCGAATGGAAGACGAAGGCGGCCGGATTTAGGTCCCAAACGCCCGCCCCAAACCTAGGTCCTCCAGTAGAGAGGTTAGAATAAGTTGGTACCCACTTTTTCCTGTAGTCTATTTTAGTAGGGGAACCGAGCCTCCCAACCAAAAAAGGAACGGCAAAAGCAACGGCACTACCGGGGGACCCAGAACCAGTTTGGGAGGACGGGGACGGGGCCCCCCCGAAAATTCCTCCGATCTCGAAGGCTCGCTCCATCTTTTCCGGCGCCAGAACAAGCGGCCCGTCGGCCGGGATCGATCCCAGCCGGCTGCCTCGGCTCGCGCCGAGGAAGTGTTTGCGCCTTCTCCCCCCCCGTATGCTAGAAAAGGCCGGAGGCTTTAAACACGAATTCTCCTTCCGAGAGGGCGTAAAGAAGGGGCTCCGCGCTGAGCAGGACAAGTTTCCCCGCTTGGAGTTCGGTTGGGCTCCGTTTGGCAGAATGCGACTTTTGTTTCCCGGGCCATGAAGCACCTGAGGAGTTGTCTTGAAATTGGATGCACTTGAATACATGATGCATTTACAGAGCGTGCAAATCTATGCAAAGGTATGCAACGAAGAGCGTTAGCCTGTGAGTCCCTTTGAAACCACATCAAGATGCAAGCATGGGAGCGTCCTTGTGCTCAAACTGAAGAGCACATTCTCTAAGACACGGGCGAACCTCTGTCTTGACAGCCAACTTGCACCCGTCTTCTGCAAGTAAGATGTTGCAGGATAGTGCATCTAAAGTGCTCATGCAAGTCAAAATGTCCCAGACATGTTTGGTCGACAGCCAAAGCAGCTGAAGCTGCCTAGGCAGATAAGGTCATGGGTCCAACCAAAGAGTAACCAGACATGGCCTGGCCAGGCAAACGAACCCTTTTCCTACGAGGTCAATAAGGTTACCCAACGGACCACGCCTAGAGTTGGAATTCAAATGGAAGCCCGAATGAAAAGCAACGGCATTGTTATGGTACCTTGTGAATGTCGCCCGTTATCCTGCAACGTTGTCGCCATGGAAGTTGGTTGAAACAAGTTGCGCAACCACGTTTGGCGAACCCCCCAGCTCAGGGTGTAACTTTGCACTCCTTATTAAACAAAAGGGGCCCAGTTTCAAAAAGGGAGGCTGGGACAGAAGACATAGTTGCCACACCGCTCACATGGCGGGAATGAAGAGCTCCAAAACAAACACATTGCCGAGTTTCGTGGCCCAAAGGCGCAAGCAACGTGGCCCTGTCAACCTTTGCACTACTAAAGGAACACTCATGTTCACCCACCCACCCCTCCCGTTTCAGGGTAAACATCCATGCAAAGCAAATGAGCCCAACCCTCCCAACAGGTAGTAATGGAAGTCAAGGGCTACTTGTTTGGAGAGTAACCTCCTTCGAGGGGAGTGTTTTTGGGGGGTTCATGCTGCCGGGAAGTAATGTTAAAACTCGGACTAATCCGGGGGACCTACTAGTCAGAAGAACCCCAAATCGGTATTACTAAACGGCCCCTGATCGGTAGCTCCCGGATGAATTTTCAGTTCAGATTCTCCCCATTGCGCCGGCCGAAAACACAGCGCCAAGCCTAAAGCACAGCGTCCGGCCTGCGTCTCGTTCCCATCAGCAGGAAGGTGGTTGTCCTGCTTGCACTCAGCTGTTCTCGTGGGTTGATCAACTCACGTGCCACAGGCCTGCCGCAAACAAACCAGACCATGCATTTGTTTTTGCTTGCCACAACTCGATGTGCTGCCTTCCCTCTGTGCAAGCCCTGATTTTGAGCCTATGATTTGGCTCCCCAAACGGCCCTGACAGCACCAGCCGTCGGGAGTCCAAAGGAGGAACCTGCTTTCGGATGTGCTTCTGGAACGGAATGGCCAAAAATCAAAGGGGTTGGGCTCCTCTTGCGTTGACGCATGTACAACTTGGCATGGCCCTCCAAGGTCCTCGAATTCTGTCGTTTCCTTTACGCTGGCCTAAGAGCTCCCGTGTCAAATGGCACTGCTCAAGTCCCCTAGAAGAAACATACCATATCTCCAGCAATTAAACCAACAGGGGAAGTAGAACATATTTTCTGAAACGATTGGAAGCCACAACGCGTTTCCCAAACATGCCACCTGCAATGGGCCTGGGAAAACAACCCGCCAAATAGCTATGAGTTTGAATGGGTCCCGGACCCTTTGGTGGCAAGCATCCAGGGGTTCATGTCCACCAACCACATGCGGCTAGTGGCTCGGATGGAAACAAGTCTGTGTGTTCATTAAACAAACGACCACATATTTCATATCAGTACTATTCTGGCTGTTCTTAGTCAGTACCATAACAAAGCCGGCGAAGCCCGGTTGGCGGAAGCTTGAAAATATACATGTCTTTCCTTCTTTGCTTTTGTCTTCCCCTTTCTGACCTTTGTTCTTTTCGGTGCTTCTTTTCTTTCCATCAATATTTAGGTGTTTATGTGTCCTTTCTTTCTTTCTTTCTGTCTGTCTGTCTGTCTGTCTTTCTTTCTGTCTCGCCTTCCTTCCTTCTGTTCTGTGCTCTCTATCTATCCATCTATCTATCTATCTATTACCTATGTGCCTATCTATAAATCTATCTATGCATGCACTCTCGGTTTATCAATCTATCTCTCTATCTATTCATGTATCTCCCTGTCTATCCATCTCTCTGTCCATCTGTCTATCTACCTGTCTGTCTATCACTCTATCTATCTCTATCTATCTACCTATCTATGTCTTCCATCTCTCTCTCTCTCTCTAGCTAGCTTGCTATTTGTCTATGCGCACTGAATATCTATCTGTCTACCTATCGATCTATCGTATCTATCTATGCGTCTCTCTCTATATCTATGCACTTCAAACTATCTATGTCTCTCTCTCTCTCTCGCTCCCTCTCTCTCTCTCTATCTACCTATTTACCTTCTACCTACCTATCTTTCTACCTGTTTATCTATCTCTCAATCGGTTAAATGCTCAGCCATGAACTATCTATCTCTACCTCTCTATTGATCTGTGTCATCTGTCTATCTATCTATGTCTCTATCTCTCTCTCTCTATATGTATATATATATATGTGTCTTCCATCTGTTTATTGAACTTACGTATCTCATGTATCTTTTATTTCTATCTGTGTAGCTATCTCTCTATCCGTCTATCTATTTACCGAATCTTTTCTCCTTCTATCTACCTATGTCTATATCTATCTTTCTTTCTTGTATCTACCGACCGACCCACCGACCGTGCCCTACGAGAATGCCGCGCTTGCCACGAAATCTTGCGACAGCGCCTGCCATGCAATTGCGCCTTTGACCTTGCGGCGAAGCGCTGCGCTTGCCACTTAATCTGCACCTCACCTTCTACACGAGCCAGTTAACACGTCCGTGCCAGCATTGCCAAGACGCTGCGCCTGTCACGCAATCTGCGCCTGAGTCTGCAAAAGTGCTGCGCCTGCCGCGAAACCTACACCTGAGGCTACCCAAGTGCTGTGCACGCCAACCCGAAGTGCTGCGCGTACGAAACGCTTCGCCTGTCACGCAAAGCTGACGTCGCGAAGCGCGCCCGTCCGTGCTAAGGGGACGTCCCCAGCCCGTTCCGCGCCCGCTCCGAGTCTTTCGTCCGTCAGGCGTCGTGACCAAGGAAGCTTTCAGCCCGCCAGAGACGCCCAAAACACGCAGAGGGTCACTCTTTTTTGCGATTTCTATTCCCCTGCAACTCACGTTTTCTCGCCTGCATTCATTCTGTCTTCATTTCAGCTGCGCGCAGGACAACAATTCAGCTAGTGTCCGTATCTCGGAAGTTCCGCCTTTGCTTACTACCTTCCCCCACCCTACCTTGCAACAAACTATGGCCAAATTGAACCCGTCACATCGGAGCCGCTCCTTCGCCCTCCTTCGCCAGAGCCGCGGGTTTGAGCGCGTAGCCCCGGAAGCCGCGCCTGCACAGGGTATGGGGGGGGGGGGGAGATTGGGCCCCCGGAGATCTCCATGTGGGTGTCGTTTTGCTGGGGCCGTTATGCCTCTTTCTGGGGGGTGAGCAAAGTCAAATGGCTTCGCGGCTTCCCTTTAGCTTATTAGGGACTGACTTTGAGAGTGGGAAACTCAAGAGGCCAGTGTGTAGGAGTGGGGGGAACCCCTTTTTGGAGTTGGCTTCAGAAAATTTAAAGAAACTCATTGCTTGGGGTCCAAATCCCTTGGATACCCATGGCCCATGCCCATCTTCCAAATACGAAGGCTTGGGGATGCCAAGTCGCATGTCCCCGAAAGGGGAAACCCCTCACTTGGGGACAGGGATAAGGCACTCAGAACACAACTAGGGCCTCTTTCGGAATGGCCCTAAGTCTAATTGAAAAACCCCAAAGAAACCATCTGAGGTCCATTAAATGCCCCCGATGCAGTAAATCGGCAAGGGTGAACCACGTATTTTTAGGTAACCGTTTGTGGCTTGGAGTGGTGGCTTTGATGTTTGAACCCCTGGTTCTTGTAGAGGGCAAATTGGGAAACCGCGCCCTAACCTCCAAACCACCAATCCAAATTGACTAACCTCTAGAGATGCAGCACCAATTCAAACTCCCCTGTTCTGGTGGGTTGAAAAGTGCGACACAATAATGTTCTGTTTGATTGCCCACATAGGCTGTGACGATCCAAATTGTGATCCCAATCCCTAAATGCATCTCTGCTTTTCGCGAAATCAAAAACAAACACGGGCTTCCTACATCATAAATCATGAAAGCAGACTCAGGAGAAACATGCAATTGCTCGTGCGGACAAAACAAATCGCGTCAACGAATGGTTGAATCTGGCCATTGGCATCGTCGCTCTCCCCTGACACTGTCTGCAATGATTCAGGGCCCCTATCCCAGACCCCTGCACCTTTTCTTCGTTGCTGTTGATCCCTCTGCCAAAAGCTTTGCTTTTTGTGGGCCCAACTCAGAAAATCCACTGTTTCAATCAAAAAGTTAAAGTCCACAGATCCGTTAAATCCAGTTTGTTGGTTTTGGTTTTATATTTTAAAGGGAACCACAGGGAAACCCTTCCCAAAAAGGAAAGGACAGCGCCTCTGGGCCACTGGGTGTCTGTGGCTAGGGATGAGCCTGTTTCTGGTTTCTGGCCTCTAGCATCAGGGAACCTGAGCAGAACATGCGAGCCTCTGGTGACATTGGTTGGAACGAATGTTTGAATTGCGACCCATCCCCTCAGGTTCATCCAGGGTGGTCTGCTTTGTGGGCAAATTTGAGATCGTGGGTGGGTTCCTCTGATTCTTGCAGTCCTCCTTAGCAGCCTTGGATGTGACAGGAGGCGAGGGAAGCGAAGTGGCGAATGTGACAAACAGCATGCTGCTTGCCCCTAGTGTTGTGTATATTTTGGAGGTGGCAGGGGGATTTCCATCGCACCAACCCGTGAAAAACAGATGCCGACGAGAGCTCCGTGCCAGAAACAATGCCTTTCCCAGCTGCTCTCAGGAAAACAATGTCCGCCCCTCCCTTAAGTGCTGTGCAAGGCACGCTTGAGGGCTACCTGCCATGCGCAGTGGTGAGACGGGTGAGACGGTGGAATGGTGGCATAGGATCGTAGGATGGATGTTCAACTGTCAGCCTCACGGCTCAACAACAAAATCCAAGGCACCCAGCTATCTCGATTGGTTGAAGCAATGCTGATGCCCCTCAATATATAAAGTGATTACACAGTATTGTTGGCTTCCCCCCCCCACCCCCGGTGTTTGTCTCGGCTATGGGCGGCATGGGTTTCAGATCTTGCCGCAATCGGCAGGAATGGTTCGCCCCAGCAAAGCAGATTATGAAACTTGTTGCCATCCAACCAATGTGCGGCTGTGATGGTCCTTGGCTCACCAGGACATTTCTTTTGGATTTTCTAGAAATTGCAACCTGGCCCAACCACAAGTTGTAACGGAACATGGTTCCCAGCTTGCAAGATTGTGAGCTTCAACCATCCGTGGTTGCCATCTATACACAGCATCCCTGCGGATGAGAAATTACTCCCAAGGGCACAGGGGGTTTGCCTGTTTCCCAAGCCACATTTCCACTGAAACGATGACCATTATCAGTAGGACCTGCCACACCAGGCCACACAAGAAAACCTTTGAGTACAACATCACAACATCACAACATCCAGTTGTGTGCCCTGGTGTACAACATCACAAAAACCAGCTGTACAAAAAATCAACATCACAACATCAAAAACCGATTGCGCCCAACATCACAACATCCAGTTTCCGAGTCTGAGGGCCTGTTCCGCCCAACTTTTGTTGGGACTTCGCTCTCAAGGGCTCTGTCAGTCTCAGCCGGCATTCTTTGAGAAAAGCCCGCAAGGCAAGCCAAGAGCTCCCAAACTGTGGATGGACGAAATCCTGCACCGCCCAAGAAACCATGGGAAACCACTGTTTGTTGGTGTTTAGTTGCAGGGAATCAGACCATTGCGGGGTTTCTTAGGTGGTGCAGGAGTTCTTCCATCCACAGTAGGGCTGCAATGTTGTGCTCCCAGCCTTTTCGAGAACAGGAACATTCCCGGTCTTGGGGTTAATTGAGCACCCGATGCTTGACATTTGGCATTTCAAGTTGTATGTCGGGTATAAATCATGTAACGGTGCCCTAACTGAAGCCGGGACCCCGTACTTCGCTGGTCAGGGACTTTGAAATCCGCTGATACCAAAGAAGTCCTTCTGAGTCCTTCGCCGGTCAGGCAGGCTCCTTGGAGCAGTCGAACCATGCCCCATGCCTGTTCCCAGGAAACCAATCTTCAGTTTGAGCTCGTGTGAGCCTAGGCACTTCAGCTTCCCCAACAGAAAACGAGTACTAAAATGTGTGTCTTGTTTGGGGGACCCCAAATGGCTTCGGTGTCCTTTCGACCTACCTTTAAAACCATCCATAAAAGGGTAGACCAGCAACCCCTTTTCGATTTCCAGAAGTTAAGAACGCGAAGGGTTCAAGCCCATCCCACCGGGGCGCGATCAAAAAGCTGGGGATCTGTTTGTAACTCGCTGACAAGGGAAGCATGAAAACTCAAAGTGCCAAAAGCTGCCAAAAGTTGCAAAGGTTGCTTCAGTCCGGCATCATGTTTCTCCATTTTTGTTTACGTTACCCCTCGCCAACTTGCATTGTCTGTCGCCAGTCGAAGCAATCCGTGGCGGCTGGGCGATACAGGCCAGCGAAGATGTGCTCGCTGAAGCTGCCGTGGCTCCTCGGCCCGGCTCGGCTGAGTTTGGCCCCGGGAAACCGAAGACAAGGACAGAACACCTTCTCCGGGCTCAGATCCCCCGCGAAAAGTTTTTCGACTTTTGGTGGGTTAAATGGAGATCCCCACGAAACACAAAAAAAGGCGAAAAAGCTCTAGGGAACCGGATGGATCGGAGCCAGCAAGATCTTGGAAGCTTCTTGTGTCAGCCTCCCTCTAATTGGTGGTTTGGAGCCAAGTGGTTTGATGGTTCAGGTTGCCCATGTACCTTCGACAAGAACAAAGGGCTCAAATCCAAACCACCAAACAAGACCACCATTTGGAGGATGTGCGTGTTGTTTTTTTGTGAGGGTTCCCCTTTTAGGGTTGCTTAAACATGGAAACCAAAGGAACAACAATAACTGTGGAGGTCTAAATTCAAATTACTATTTGACACCTCTTCTTACAGGTTCTGAATAAAGGGTTCTGAGAACGGTTCTGGCGAGTGGGGGTGTGTTGCTTGCATCACGTCCTGCAATGCGAGGGGCCAAATCCCTAAGGTGCTCCTCCCATCCTGACTTAACCCTGGCAAAAAAATAGTTCGGAACGCAAAGAGGGGGCTGAAAAAAACAAAAATAGCAGATAATTCATTGATTAATTAACCAACCAGCCAACCAACCAACCAACCAGCCAGCCAACCAACCAACCAGCCAGCCAAGTTAACAAAACAACATCTTGTTATTTGCCTTTTCTATTTTTTATATTAGTTTTGTATCTTAAAAACTGAGAACAACAGATGGAACGCCCTGGACCACCGGCTTCTTGCATTGCCTCCCAGCGGCGCATCGAAGCCGTAGCCCAGTCGTAGCATCTTCTTGGCCCAGCGCAGAGTGACCTGGGAACCAGTGGGCGCGTTGGAGACATGTGGTTCCATTTTGGGGTAGGTGCACCACCCATTTTAGTCTATTTATAGGTGGTGTCTGTTTGGTGTCCCTTTAAAACCATCCAAAAAAACAGCGGGTACCCTAAAATAACAGACTCGTGTTCTTGTTTACCTTCCATTAGCGTTGTTGCCCCCTGGAAAATACACAATATTTCCTGTAGTCATGGATTCCCTTTAAAACCAGGGGAAATAAAACACATATTCTGGAGAAATGGAAGTTACCCTGAGCCTGCTGGGTTGACCTCGAGTTGTCCTTGGTTGACCCCTGAAGCTGGTTTTGTTAGGGACCTAGGTTTGGAGCTTTGGAGGGTAGTCGTTTGTGGATAATTTCACGGGGAAACCTGATCGGTGGGTTTTCACGCAAATGACATTCACCCGCCAAAACTAACAGACTCAATGAAACAAAGCCGCCCGCATGCGTGAGGCTTTGCCACGTAAGTTTCCGGAGACAAATCCATCCTGCAAGTTTGCAGGGGACCCAGTTCAGACTGGCACCAACCCATGTCAGTGTCCTTTTTCCTTTCGAAACTATCCATGTGCGAATTAGCACGCATGGAACAGGGAAGGCTTTCAGGATCGCAGAAAAGATACGCAAAAGATGCTCTTGGCCCTTGAGCCAAGGGTGTACATCCCATGGCAACGCAGTAGTTCGGGTAGGTTTGACAGAAATCGAGGACTCCTGCATAAACAGTGACCTGGGCTTAAAAACCTTCTTTTTGCTTGGTCGCTCCTAAGCTGTTCACTCTCTATAGCCCCGCAAAAACTCTTCTGCTAGATAGAAGTACGATTGCTGCAAAGGAAAACCAGTGGGGCAAAATTGGCTGCGAGCAATCATGAGAAACCTTTGACCACGCTCATTGCTGCCTAGGCGCGTAGTAGTTGTTCAAAGCCTCCGGTATCCTGGGATTCACGGTAGGAGGTGCTTGGGAGGTGTGACTTGGTTGCCAAAGACCTGCAGGAATTGTCTAGTGCAAAAGGAGCCTCTCAGGCCCTCAAAAAGATACGTTGCTAAGGCCCAACACCTTTCAATGGAGGTCCTAACCTTTCCATGGAGGGTCCAATGCATAGGGTGAGATACCAGAAGATGATTGATCCGTTTGCGAGGTGTCCAAAAACCCCCCAGCATTTGAAGGGCACTCGATTTTGACCCTGGGACATACACACAAATCTTGCAACGGGTGCAGCTGAAATGCGTCGCAAGTTTGGGGGCTTCAATCTATGCGCCGCCAGACTTCCAGCGCCCATGCCTTTCAGAAAGTGGCACCTCCGGTTGCCAGCCGGTGCTGGGAAACCTCCAATGGGCTCATTTGAAAGGTTCTCTTTTGGTCAGAACTGATCAATCAACTGGGAGGGCAGGAGATCCGGAAGTGCCACAGGGCCCTTGCGGGACATGCAAACACCTCCAAGTGACACGACACCCCATGGATGCAAATCCTTCCAGCTGGGTCTAGCTGTCAAGCGGCTGACATGGGAAGCCAGCTCAGTTGCCCTCTCCACCGGACCATGAAACCCACCAGAAGGTTGGAGTCGCAAAGCCTCCAGTCAGGTTCCATATCTCAAGGGTATCCCAAATGAGCAAACGACCACGTGCCCCGTGCTTGGGGAAAGGAGCAGGGGTATCATGCTACAGCGGTCAAATTATGTGATGCTCCCGTGGACATGAAGCTACTCGTGAGTCCAATTGGGTGGCATGTTGTGTCGAGAGTTCCCTGCGACCCTCCCAAATAAAGCATAAAATGCTGGATGTGTTGACAAGACACGTCTCATGCGTCTTTGCTTGATGTGCGCCTTCCTAACTCGCGCCACACACCATCTTCTCTGTGTTTCAAGAGAACATGGGAAAGTGGGGGCCTCGGACCCTGGTGTTCAACTGGTACTTGGGTCACACCGAGCGAGCGGCGAAATCTGAGACTACCTTCGGCGATTTCAATTGGGAAGTTATCGTCTTGGGGTTTCACTACATCGTTCCTGAAGGTTTCTGACACTTGTCTTTTGGGGGTTCACTAAATCACGGAAGACAAATCTCAACACCAGAGAGTTTAGCCTCTCGCTCGAACCTGTATCATACTCCCCTCAGATTGCCATAAAACCCACAAAAGAGCTCCCACAAAAGGAGGATCTTTGGAACTGTCCAGCATGGGAACCCTCTTTTGCCGCTGAACAACCGGGCAATGTAGAATTTATAATGTTGACCCCGGATTAATAAACCCCTGTTTATTAATATGTGGGTGTCCGTTTTAGTGGGGATTTGTCACTTTTTGAGGGAACACCCCCATATTTAAAAAAAAAAAAAGGTTTATTAATCCGGGATCAACATTACCGCCCCTGTTAAGCATTTCTGCAGTTGCCAGCCCTCGAACAGGTTTGTAGCTGGGGTAATGTCAACCTCGGATTTATCTGGAGGCTCCCAGTCAGAGCCACCCGCACAAAATAGATGCATGTCCAACCACTTGACAAGGGGATCCGTTCCCTATTCAAATTCATACCCTTCACGGTTGTAGGCTTTGTTTTTAGGCTTTTGGCTCTGCTCATTCTTAGTAGGGGGCTGCAAAAGAATGAAAAAAAAGGTCCAAGACGGGGCCTATGGATTGGATCGCGCCTGCCATGAGGCCCGCGCCCTCGGCCGGGCTTCAGCCGGAAGACCGTGGCATTGAACTTCCTCGACCCGCGGCTTGCACGGCCGGAACGGCTCATGGAACTGGGCTCGGTGGCTTACGACCTGCGAAGGGCTTAAGGGCTTAAGGCGGGGCCTCATGAAAATGTCGCCTGAAATCTCTACATGTGTGTGTCTCCTTAAAAAGGAACCTCCAACATGGGTTGTTTGCCTTTTGGCTTTCATTGAACGGGTCCCCAGGGTATCCTCAACGAACAAACACACCCGTCTGCTGTCTCGCCTCATCACAGGGCCACTCCAGCCCATGTGATACCGTCAGATTCCCTCGAGCGCGAGCTGATCGTTCTCTTCTGGGGCCCGTTTAGAATCCCGCGAATCACGTTGAAGGTGATGACCATGCCAGAAGAACATGCCTAGGTGCGTTGACCATGTTGCATCTTGGGGTCAGTTCCAAGGAATGTCTAGGCTTTCCACGGCAAATCCACCCAACCACGCACCTTCCACAGTCTAAATTTCTCAAATTGGCATGTAACTGCAAAATTCAAAACACGAAACACGGGACTTTCAGGTAAGGGCGAGTACGAGACCCATTCGCCCCAGGTTTGCCCTTCTCTCCCTTTGCGCTTTCTGGGAACCTGTCTGGCCGGTAAAACCCCCGTGGTGTTCGCAACCCACGGCAGGAAGCGTCATCCCTCAAAGAGAAAGAACGGCAGAGGGTTCCTAAGTCATTTTCGCCATCGGTATGGAAACACTTTTCGGCTTTTCGCACCTCCCAAGCCCTGCGCCGCATCTCGCAAAGACCGCCGAGTCGGCGGTAGAATCTCCGAGCGAGGCGCTCGGGGGCATCCCGCTTTCGCATGGCGCTGGTCATCTTTGTGTCCAGCGCCCCCACCTCTTGCCGCCTGGCACGGCTTGCAGGCAGCATGGGACTTCGAATCCGCGGGCGACGAGTCTGTTTCAGCTTCCCTCCAACTGGTGGTGTGGAGGGGCTTCGCCCATTTACCCACAGAACCAGGGCTTGAAATCAAATCAAACCAATCCAAACTACCAAGTAAGGGTTGCCTGAGAGTCTGTTCTAATCTGAAGAGAAACAACTGGGCGTTGAAAATTGCAGAGATCTCCGGAAATATTACCATGATTATCCAGAAAGGGACCTCGTCTTACCCCCACTGGCAAAATCACAATACCCACATCAATACATTAAAACCAGGTTCATCAGGGACAAATGTCAGTCACTCCAATGATAACCATTTGTTTAACCGACTTGGGGGACACGCATCCCAAACCACGGTACAAAACGGAGCTCCCTTTGACACAGGTGGGTCTGGCAATAAAAAACTTGGACATCATCCACCAAAAGAACACAAGATAATGATAGATAAGAGTTGCTATCATGGAATGACGTCTGAGCACATTAACCAAGCATGCAAGCAAACAACCAACCAACCCAAACCACACCACGCCAACCCAAACAAAACAACACAAAACCAACCCAAACCACTCCAGCTGACCAATCAGAACACCTCGCGGGCCAAGCGGCGGGTTGAACGCCACGAAGTCCGTCTTCAAGGGGAGCTTACCCAACAGCTCGTTCCGCCTCCGAAGGGTCGAGCTCGGTGTCGACTTCAATGAAACCCAGTGATTCCAGGAGCTTCGCCACTATGGGTACCCGCCCACCAACTAACATAGAACCTGACCTTTCGTGGGGTCCTGGTTGGGATCATTTTGCTTGTTAAACGCGAGTAACCATCGGAAGAAAACGCCTAGAGGTAAAAACACCTGGTTCAGCCTAGTGGCAGCTGGAAGCACCGGGAAGCCGGGAAGCATTCCAATAGATGGATTCCAATAAAATGGAGTCCAACAAATGGATTGCAAATTTCATGGACTCTGAAAAACGGATTCAACTTAAATGACGGGAACCAAAACGAAACCAGTGCGATCTACCAAACTGACCTGAACAAACACCTACCAGCCGTGGCCTTCAATCGCGGGTCAAACAGCTCAAGCCCGCCGCAAAGGGTCAGGCTCCAAATTGGTGTTGATTGGTTTAGGGATCCCCCGGTTCTAAAACCCTCCAAACCACCAAGCCCAACCAACTGGAAAGCCGACAGGCGGGGGAAGCATTCCTCTAGCGTAGGCCGCTCGTGCGGAATACGCCATGCTCCTCCCGTTTCGAAAGCATTCCGCATGTAGCGTGATGAAGCTTCACCGTTTAGGCTCTCAAAACTTCGGAAAATATATTGATGCTAAGCTAAGCAAATCCCTGTACACCCACTTCCTCTTCATAACAGTTGTCTGTTTCTTGGATCTATGCGCTTGAGCGAATACATCCAAACCGTCTCGCTTCATGCAGTTGTCCATAGCGCTCTCACCTGCAAGATCGGCCATCACATCTTCATCCAACATTGTCCTGATGGCTGGCCACAATGAACGTTCTCGTGTGGACCACGCTGAAGCCCAACAGACGCGTCGACCTATGAGAAGAAAATCCAAACCAGTTGTGTCATCAGAATTCTACGTCCGCATGTCTAGCACCCAAAACCTGATGATATTTGGTTCTACCAATGCTAAGCTAAGGCCTTTCTGGTCAAGGCTGGGGTTTCGGGCGCGTAAATGGAACTAAGAAGTCCAGTAGAAAAGCAAATTGGGATGAGCCCATCCTCTCAGTGACTTGTTCCGGAATTTGGCAAAGTGTTATATGCTAAACCGTGATGGAATGCACAAGGCGCACCAACTGAAACCTCCTAACATTCAGCCCTCCCATTTTGCGATGGACATTTGATGGGTGCACCGAATACACGAAGACTTACCGTGCAAATGACAGTGAATGTTGATCCGTATGATCTTTCGGGTGACCTTGGCTTTATGGCCCTTGCAAAAGGTTTATCGACGCCGTGCAAGGATTCAGCATCTATTTCTGACGAATGCTCAACAATGGCAATTTAAATGAGGCTTGTGTTCTCCTCCTAAGTGAGGAACCCCGATGGCTTTAAGCAGCTGGACTCTGGGTGGAGGGATGCCTAATGATGCCTCAATGGCAATTCGAACGGAAAAAGACATGGCCACAGTTACATGCATAGAATTATTTGCCAGTATGATGAGTTTGTCTCAAAATAGGTGAAGCCCCGAATGGGCTTTGGTTTCCCTTTGGATGATGATGATGATGATGATCATCATGATGATGATAAACATGACTTTCCAATGATCATGCTTTAGAGTAGTTCTACCGAACCTCAGCGCGCCTAAAGCGGAAGCGGGGGCAAGGGAGCTCTGTGTCCTGCACCGACGCTCCAAGGAAACGGACCACTTCTGTTGGTTTAATGGGACACCCCAATAAACCAGCTACGCAAACGGGAAACAAAACGTGCAAACTTGAGTGTTTGAGTGGTTTAAAGGGAAAAACCAACCAGAGTTTTGTTTCTTGTCTCACTTGTTGAGTAGACTCGCTGTGTGTGCAGCTAACATGGTCTTCCAAGAAAAAAGCTTAAATCCAGGAACTCAGGAAGTGCGCTGTTTTGTAAATGAAACCACCAAGAAGCAATTGTTTACGGATTCTTACCTTGTGACTCTAGCCAAGTTGCCCCTTGACAAGGTCACTACTCTGCCCATTTAGTCGGTCCACTGATTGCTCCAACACCTTCGAAAGTAGAAGTCCAGCTTGTGCGTTGAATTTGGTGTTTGGTACTCCCCACCAATTGAACAGGTGCTTGTACCTGGGAATCCCTCCACATCTGCATGCATTGCCAATAACAAATGTCAGGAACCACAAGCACATGTGATGCATCAACGTCCTAAAGGGTCCAAGTGCGTCAACAATCCAACAAGCAATCATTGCGTGGGAGCTTCTCAAAGTGGTGGAGCCCAGTTGATTGGCATAGGGCAACCAAAACAAAACCAGCCATGTTGTGGGACCCCTATCTTGAGAAACCACAATATCCGTTTGAGCTGTCAGACTACAGCATGTAGGCTGTAACGCACGGATGCGTTGCAGGGGGGTTGGCACAATGGTGACCTTGTTGGCGACCCCGGAAAACGAGCGGCACACATTCACACAAATTTTACGTCATGTGGATTCGACATGGAGGGCCTGAGTGCACCCTGGTTCAGAGAGTTTGACAGGGAACGCCACAGAAAAGCCACCACCTGGGGTCCTCAATATTGAGACACACCCCTTTTTGCCAACTCCGACTGTGTGTTGCAAGAGCTGGGCTCGGTAAAGAGCTCTCTCTCAAAAAGGTGCAAGGGTGGGTCCTCCAGGACACTGGCGCTGGGAATGTTCCTCGGTGGAGTGTAAAACCAATCCTTCGCAGCAACCATACATGAGCATAGGTGTCCTTTTGGGGCAAATAGATGGCCCTGGTAGATGATTCAACACCTATTTACATGAGCTGCGGCAGTTTTTGCTACATCGTTGAATGGTGTTCCTACCTCGCTCTCCAACCCTGCACCCGCTTGGACTCACTGACCTCGTTAGCCGCCGCAGGTGTGATTTCATGGCCCTACCTCGTTTCCGGGATTCTCCCGCCTCGTTGTGCGCCTAAATCAGCATGTTGCCGAAACAAACATGTGCGCGCGGCATTTTGTGTAGTCTTCTGACCCCGACAATGGTAGTTAAAAGCCAAAAGCGAAAACGTGGAGCACAGCAGCGGAACAACTAATCCTGACCCAAGAGACGTGCTGCGCGCGCGTGTGTGTGTGTGTGTGTGTGTGTGTGTGTGTGTGTGTGTGTGTGTGTGTGTGTGTGTGTGTGTGTGTGTGTGTGTGTGTGTCTGTGTCTGTGTCTGTGTCTGTGTCTGTGTCTGTGTCTGTGTCTGTGTCTGTGTCTGTGTCTGTGTCTGTGTCTGTGTCTGTGTCTGTGTCTGTGTCTGTGTCTGTGTCTGTGTCTGTGTCTGTGTCTGTGTCTGTGTCTGTGTCTGTGTCTGTGTCTGTGTCTGTGTCTGTGTCTGTGTCTGTGTCTGTGTCTGTGTCTGTGTCTGTGTCTGTGTCTGTGTCTGTGTCTGTGTCTGTGTCTGTGTCTGTGTCTGTGTCTGTGTCTGTGTCTGTGTCTGTGTCTGTGTCTGTGTCTGTGTCTGTGTCTGTGTCTGTGTCTGTGTCTGTGTCTGTGTCTGTGTCTGTGTCTGTGTCTGTGTCTGTGTCTGTGTCTGTGTCTGTGTCTGTGTCTGTGTCTGTGTCTGTGTCTGTGTGTGTCTGTGTCTGTGTCTGTGTCTGTGTCTGTGTCTGTGTCTGTGTCTGTGT